AAAAAGCTTTTCAAAAGTATTTTTCCTGAAAATACATGATTTCAAGTTTGTTAAAAGCTAATTAAAAACTCTTGATTAAAAACCTGAATAAACTAAGTTTTAGGTGATCTTTCAATAATAAAGGGATTCTTGGGGTAAAACATTGAGAACTACTCTATTTAGTACTTAGAAAAAAAAATTAAGAGGTGCCCAAAAGGGATTGTGGGAGAAAGCTCTTTTTCTTTCCATCTGGCAGCAGCCATTTCACTCAAAGGTCAACCAAGATGGGCGCTTACACGTACATCCTGGAGCTATGGAGAAAGACACAGTCTGATGTAATGCGCTTTATTCTCAGTACTGCCAGTTACTCTGCGCTTTACAGGGTACCCCATTCAGCCCGGCGTGCTAAAGCCCCCAGACTGGGATACAACGCCAAGCAAGGTTATGTCATGTATCGGATTCACGTGCACTGTGGTGACTACAAATGCCCAGTTCCTAAAGGTGCAACCTGTGGCAAGCCTGTCCATCATGGTGTTAACCAGCTAAAGTTTGCCCCAAGTCTTCACTCTTGCCTAGGAATAAGCTGGATGCCACCATGGGGCTCTGAGAGTCCTGAATTTTTACTGGATTGGTGAAGATCCCACGTACGAATTCGTTGAGGTTATCCCCATTGATCCATTACGTAAAGCTGTCAGAAGAAATCCCGACACTCACTGGATCAGCAAACTAGCTCTCAAGCACAGGGAGATTCAAGAATTGACCTGTAGGCCCCAAGAGGCGTGGCCTTGGAAAGGGTCACAAGTTCCGCATGAGGCAGCTTGGAGAAGACGCAGTACCCTCCAGCTCCACTGTTACTGCTAATGTAAGTAAATTAAAATTCTTAACCTAATAAACAATTTATGACAGTCAATATTTTTTAAAATATGTTTGCCACTTCTTTCTTAAATTCAAAATTTTCTTTCAAATAAAGGGTAATTTTAAACAAGGTTATAGTGATTTCTCTCTTACCAGAGTATCTAAAAAAGCACATCTTAGAACACCAGGCTAGCTTTGTTTCGCATTGTTTCAAGAAAAAAAAATCTGTATTAATGTTACGGGTAAAAATGTGTCTTGTCCTCTTAATTATCTTTTTTTTTCACAAATTTATAATGTAGCCAACTGTTGTTTCCTGATAAGCTCAATTTTCTGAATATTTACAGCCATCTGTGTTGACTTAGTATGGGGGTACATCTGACTTTAATCTCTTTGACCCAACACCTTCTAAAAATATTTGAGAAATGGAAATTTCATTTGTAAATATTACAAAGTTAGCAGTTCAAGCATGATATTAATATATTCTCATCCTAAAGTTTCATCTGTTTATGAACTTGAGTCTCTTGGAATTTCTAATTCTATTAGGTCAGGAGATTAAATTACTCCAAATATGTATTCAAATGCTCTTTTTTTCTTCAAATCTGAGAAATGTGTTTGACATTTTGCAGGTTTTTTTAACTTTCTAAACGATGGCAAGTTAACCTTAATTTTGGATTAGCCTATGTATGGTTGTAGGATGCAGCAGTTTGGTGAATTGTAATGATGACTAAAAACTGATTTGCTAATACTATATAGTTTCCCACATTAAAAAAGTATTTTTCATAATATCTAAAGTGTATTTAGAGTTGAGGTTTGTTTTTTTAATTTTCCAGCCATAAAGGAGGCAGAAAAATTTTCACCAATCCTTGCAGTATTCATTAAAATAAGAATTTTCACCATGGCCATGACAAGAACCCTAAATAATTCCATGGCCCAGAGTTGTGCTTTCCTGAAGTTAAGATCCCAGACAGGCCTGATTCTTCAGCAATTCTGGTCTTCTGCTGAGTAGGAGCATTAGTCAAGGCCTGAAGGAGGAGGAAACAATTATCTCCTGAGAAAGCCTTCTGCAATCTGGAACACCACAGATTTCTCAGAATGGGAGTTGAGATCAGAGTGTCTCCTGGTTCTTGATGAAACAATTCAGTCCGATCAAGGACACACACCTGGAAAAATGACTGGCTTCTGGAAACAGTGTTATTCTGGTATTTAGGAATAATCCAGCTGTTGAGCACCAGGAAATAAGCTTCAATCAACTATATTTCTTGTTAAATGCTAGAGACTCATTAGATAATAATTCTATTTCAATAATAGTAACGACAGAGCATTTATTGAGTGCTTATTTCAAGGCAGGCACTTGATATTCATTATATTATTGAAGATTTTTATTTGGCATTTTATATTACTTCCTCTGCCCTGCCAGCTGATGTACACAGAAATCTGCCCCAATATCTGTTGGGGTCCTGATTAAGTCTGAGAAAATTCTGTTGTAAATAAGCCACAAAAGATTTTATCTTTGATCCTTTCCTCTGTATTCTGTATTAAAAAAAAAAAGGTCAGAAATAGTATTGTATCAGTGTTAATTTCTTGATTTTGAAAATTGTACTTTGGGATGAGCACTGGGTGTTGAATGGAAACCAATTTGACAATAAACTTCATATATTGAAAAATAAAAACAACAACAACAACAACAAAGAAAATTGTACTGTGATTATGTATATCGTTAAAACAAATGGGGTAAGAGGTATGAGGGAACTTTTTGTAGTAATTTTGCAACTTTTCTGTAAGTAACAAAAACAAAGTTGAAATACTTCATAATTTCTTTAATACAATTTAGTTTATATCTTTTATAATTTTCTTATGGCAAAAGGGCAATACATTTTCAATACAGAGAACATTTTACATGCATATTATAAAAAAGAAAATGAAAATCCCCTAATTCAACCATCTAGAGGTATCTGCTATAAATACCTAGGTATAAATTCACTGAGGTATGTGTATATGGATGTGTAGTAGTATGTATTAATTCAATCACGGACTCCATTTGGAGTGATAATGCTTTGTATTTTTTTATTGAATTTAATTTGTCTTACATCTTCAGTTTGCCTAATGGGAGGTAACTTAGTCACTTCCAAGTAGTTTGGGCATGTTAAGATTTGAAGTCAATTAAATACAGGTTTCAGATTCAGTCCCCATTCTGTTACTCTTTAGGGGGCTTATGTTTGGGTTCCATTCACCTTCAGCAGGCATCGACTACTGATATAACTTGTCCCACCTCATCTTTAGGCACCAGCCTCCTGCTTCTGTTGGCTAGAACTATGACCTAGTGAAGTCCTCCAGCCTTCACAGAGCTGGAGAGTCACTGGGGACTGTCGTAAGATTTTGAAAGGCTGCCATTGAGCCCTTTAACAGAGCCCCTTTATTAGCCTTTATTCCTTTATTGCCTTGGCACATTTCTCATCTCTTAAGACTCCAAGATCTGCAGAACCTTGAGGCTACAATCTGGAAAATTTTAAAACATAGCTTCCTTTTTTAATGGGATCTCAGAAATTATTGAGCTATCATCCCTCCCTTTGTCATGCTTGGCCTAGGTTGATGGATGGGATTCAGGCCCTTTCCCTAAGATACAGTTAAGAGATTTACTCTATAAACTCTCATATGTCATTCCTGAAAATTCTCCTCTTCTATTGAACTTTGCCACTATCCCATATTGGTGAACAAAGCAAACAAGCAAAAACACATCATATATAGTCTTCCCGAGCCTGTTAGTTATGACATAAACTTGGAAGTTTTTGTATCATAGCAAGACTTTTGGAAATTAAGATTCTTAAAGTTGCTGCAAATTACATTTCTCTTTCCACTGCTGGTTCATGCTTACAGGTGATAGTTTAGGAAAACGAACAAATGGCTCTTGAAAAACTCATTGAATACCCCTCATCGTCTGCTGTTGGAAGAGTAAAATGGACTACTCTATGAAGGGCAAATGTCAACATCGCTCCTATTCACAAATACATTTCCTCTGATCCTGCAATTCTCTTATTAAACTTATGGACCCTTAAGTGCAGTTCAAAGTCACTATCAGCTTCCCGCACCAGTTAAAAGGCCGGCTGAATTAGCCTCTTCTAGGCTCCCAAGGTGCAGAGCCCAGCCTTGCCAGCCCCGCAGTTGCAGCCGGGCCCCCTGGCCAACCCACCCCAAATCCAGTTCTCCTCTGACTGTCCTCAGACTCGTTCACAAAAGCCAATCGTGGAGCGCAGTTCTTCCTACAGTTCCCTAAGGAAAATAGGCTTCTTCCCACTACGCACCTGGGCAGCGATGTGCTTCAGGTGAAGCTGGTCCCCCTCACCACTCCCAGCAATCACCAACAAAGTTACGCTATCAATCACTGTATGCCTTTAATCTACTAGAAATGAAAATTTTCCCTAAAAAAAGAAAAAAAATGCAGGAGGTTCTCCTGAACTCCGTATGCTCAGATTCGCTAGCGACACTTCAAATGAATAGTTTGAGGGCAAAACACTCAGGGTTCGCCACAGGAAGTGAAGGAAAGTAACTCTTTGCTATCTCCAGAGCTCGGAAAATCTCGGGGCTTATTTAGAAGACCCCGTTACAGGTCACATCAAATGAGGAAATTAGAGGCAGGATGAGGTAAGGCCTGAAAAAGGGGTCTGAGACGTGAGGCCCGGGGCAAACAGTGGAAAAAAGAGTCGTCTCCCTGTGTTTGAACCAAGGGATCAAACAAAACGCAGACACCGCCAACACGCCACGCGAGCTCCAAGGGCCGCGTGGCTTTCCCGCGCGCCCGCCTTGGGGGCGGGGAAGAACCCGGATGGAACCGCCCCTGCAGCCGGGACCCCCTACAGTCTTTGAATCCCTGCGTGGGGCGGAGTTGCCCTCCTTTCTGTGCTCTGATTGGTTCATTTTCCTAGGCCCCTTCCTCGCGATTGGACTTTGCCAATGTCAGTCACGAAGCGTCGCTGGTCTCTCAGATTGTTGCTAGAAGGCGACGGCGTCGACGTTTGACTAGCCTCGCGTCTTCCAGTCGTGCGCTTTTCCTCAGGCGCTCGGAATCTGCCTTGGGCTTCTCGGCTGTGGGGCCTGTAGGGAGGCGTATCGAGGCGGCTCGAGAGCGATTTGGGGCGCCCAGGCGTTCCGCTCGTCACCCGCTCAGCGCCATGTCCTGGATGTTCAAGAGGTGAAGGGGGCGGAGGGGGTGGGGCGTAGGGGGTAACGGCCTGTCGGCGTCCCCAAATGAACCTGACCTTCCCCGCGTTCCCTTCGAGCTCCCTTCGCGTTCCCAGTGCAGCTTGTATTCGTCCTGCTGGTGGCTCGTATCGCCGCGGGAGAAATAAATGCATAGTCTTGGCTGGAGAGGGGAGGCTCCTCTGGCGAGCCTCATGCCAGGGCCTTGGGGAAATCTCTCTCTAGGGCTGTGGTGGTCCTGGGGTTCAAAGCTCCGCTCTTTAGCCCGGACCTTGATTGAGCAAACACCCGTTAGATGCCCCCTGTGCGCTAGGCGATGTGCTCGAAATAAAGGGCCGATTAAGAGAGCCCTTGTCCCCCAGTACCTCACAGTTTATGTGCATTCTTAGGCATGGAAATATGTATTTTCAGTGGAGCCAGAAGATTAATGTACGGCGTAAAAGGAAAACGCGGGGAAATAGCTTCCATCTGTTCTTGGAAGAGTGGAAACTTCCTGGAAGCGCCTCAGCCGGCTTCCTCTTATTTTCCATTTTTCAGATTGGTTTACACGCCTGTTCCTGAAACAGTTATCCATGAGGGGTTTGAGGATACCCTTAAACCAACGGAGTGGGAAGCTTGAGTTCAGCTTCCCGTGATGGCGTGATTTGGGTGCCTGAATAAAACAAGGGTTCTGTTTGGAGAGAATTAAGATAGTGGATGCTCAATTTATCTGTAACGATATAAATAGCTTCACGTATAATAATAGTTCTATATTTGCAAGCCTTTTCTAGTTCAATTTCTGTTGAAATTTGGTATGTAATTAGAGTTACAGACATCACATACATCGCAATTTAAATAGATGATCTTCACTAGGAAGGAGATTTGCAAACCCTTGTTGGAGTTTTCATTTTGAGTACTTGGTGGGTAGAAGAGGCACCACTGAACAGGTAGGGTTCTTGGAAACCTTCCCCACTCCACACCCTGCTTTACCCAGAGAAACTCTATCAATATGCGGCAATTCCCACTAAAGATTTAAATGAGAAATGAGAAAACAAATGGCCAAAAATATAATATCGTCTTTGGGAAATACTTGATTAAATATTGTATCGTTTTTCTGTGCTTTTTTAAATAGAGATCCTGTTTGGAAGTACTTGCAGACTGTCCAATACGGAGCCCATGGAAATTTTCCACGCCTCTCATATCCAACTTTCTTTCCCCGTTTTGAATTCCAAGATATTATACCTCCAGACGATTTCCTAACTAGTGATGAAGAGCTAGATTCAGTTTTATTTGGAACTTTGAGAGGTCATGTAGTTGGACTACGCTATTACACAGGAGTAGTGAGTATAACATTAGATATTAAGATGAAATATAGTTAGAAGATAATATCTAGAAGATAAGAATTGGAAGGTGGTTTTATAATTAATACTTATTTTAAGTAATTAGAGTGTATCTGAACAAGAGATAACAAATAACCTAATGACTAATTTTTTTTTCCTTTTTTTGGGCACTTGTATCCTGTTTATAATATACAAAACACTTTTTCCTAAATGGTCTCATTTGATGGCTGCAATGATTGTGGCAGATAGGACATCTATTATCCCCCCCCCTTTTTTTTTTTTTAATTTTTAGAGAGAGGGCGCGAGTGGGAGAGAGGGGCAGAGGGAGAGAGAGAGAGAAGAGAGAATCTTTACCAGGCTCCACTGGGCGCTTGATCCCATGACTCTAGGATCATAACCTGAGCCTGAAATCAAGAGCTGAACGCTCAACCGGTTGAGCCACCCAGGTGCCCCTATTAGCCCCTCTCTATAACTGAGGAACTGAAGCTTAAGAAGATAAGATGATTTGTTCAGGAAGTACAGATACTAGGTACATTTGCAAAGTGACTTCCAAGTCAGTTCTTTGCCTTCTCTTGTGTCCCTCAGGATGTTTCTGTACTCTAATATTTTTAATTTAGGAAGATTAATTCCTACTAGATAAGGGAATTATCTGTTTTTAGGTCCTTTTTTTTTTTCCTTTCTGTAGTAAGACTGTCTCCCCGTTTTTCTCCCTACGTCTGTCTGTCTTTGTCTCTGTTTGCAGTGTGTGTGTGTATGTGTATGTGTGAGAGTGTGTGTGTGAGAGAGAGAGAGGTAGTATATAGGACTTTCTCTGGTCAGTAATTTTCTTTGTTATGGTTATGTAGTATGTTTCTGTGCTATTTGGATGATATGTCTCTAGTTCTATTTTTTAACTTCTTAGGAAATGTTTTAAACGTGTGAAAGTAGAATAATGTAGTAAACCACATACCTGTGATCCAGATTCAGCAGTTAACAAATTTTTTGCACATTTGTTTCATCACTTTTTCTTTTATCCTTTAGTCCTAAAAATCTCTATTGTATTAGTTTACATCCATATAATTCAGAATGTATCTCTAAAAAAGTTCAGACTTCTCTTGTCATTTTCATACTTAACAAAATAATTTCTTATTACATCCAGCAACTAATCCGTAATCTGTTTTCTTGATTGTTTAAAAATGTCTTTTTATAGGTCATTTTTTAAAAATTGGTATCAAAGAAAGTTCATACATTACCTTTGGTGGTTATGTTCCTTTTCTTCGTGTCATTGATTTGTTGCAGAAACTACATTTGTTTTGTGGGTTGCTTTTTTTTAATTTTTTTATTTTACATTTTTTTGTGCTATGCAAGGTTCTGCATTTGTCAGTTCTTCTATTCCCTCATATTTTTCTTATGTCAAAGCTTCTCAAATAATTTTTTGGTTGTCTGAAGCATATTCTTAGGAAATTCTTTGGGAAAGAATTTCATGATATGGATTTGTCTAGTGTTTAATTCTCCTGTATTTTCTTTATATTGCAGCTTCTTAGATTATTTTGTAATTGTCTGAAATGTGTTATCTAGAAGATTCCTTAGGAAAGAACAAGATTTCCTGAATTTTTGTATGTTTGTAATTGTGATATTATACTTAAAGAGCACTTTTGGCTGAATATAAAGTCCTTGACCCATATGTTCTCTCCATGATAATTTGATGTTGCATAAATGTTGCTGGTGAGAATTCTGATACCAGCATGATTTTTCTCCCATATATAAGTGAATTGGAAATTTTTGCCTTGATGACTAAAGGGCATTTTTCATAAGCTTGAAGCCTAGTAGTTCCCCCCCCCCCCCCCGAAGCCTAGTAGTTTTATTAAGGTATGTCTTATGATTGCTCTGTAACTTCATTTTCTTCTATTTCACAAAAATTTTCTTTAATTACAGTTTTAAATACTTGCTTTGTCCTTTAGGGACTCCATTCTACTCTGTATGTATTAGATCTCTTCTGCATATATGTATGCCTGTGTATGTGGTTATTTCTTCCTCTGAAATACTTTCATATTTTTTTCACTTTTTAATTTTTCGTCCTTTATTTCCCTTACCATGTTTTCCATAAAGTCTGTGGACTTTTGTGTTCTTCTTTAGTTTTTAATTCTGAAATAGTTTTTCATTTCTGATTTTTTCCTGAAGTCAATTCTTATCATGTCCATCTCTTCTTTAGTTCTCATATCCATCTCTGAGCTTTCCTATTTCTAATTTGTGTTTTTTTCAAAACTTAGATTGTTTTCTAAATTATTTTAAGCCATTGTGAAATGCTAGATTATGGTTGTTTCTGATCTTAGAACATTCACTATTTGTTGATCTTAGAATAATTTCTATGACACTGGTAAGCTAATGTAAATGTGGTAAGCTCATTAAAAGTAATCATCGCTTTTTTAATTTTTCAAAATGTATTTTATAGGTAATACATATTCATTATTTTAAAATGGCTAAAAGAAAAAGCACTAAATCTTCTTGTAGTCTACCATCCTGGACCATAACTTACTGATTTTATTTTTCTACACTTTATTCTGTGAGCATATGCATGTAAATTGAAATCACGTTATGTATTTAAAAAATGAGATCATAATATGCCCATTACAGTGATTACCCTTCTTTCTCTTGGTAGAATATTAGGAATATCTTTTCACATCAATACAAGTCTATATGGTACCTTAAATTTCCTTATTGATGGACATTTTGGAGTTAATCATTATTATGAAAATGTATTGTAATAAAAATTGAGGTATTTATCTGTTCATACTTACTATTTTCAACTTTTTTCCAGCTCTATTGACAGGTGGTTTACATGAGAAAATGCACACATTTTTAAGTATATTATTCTAATAGTTTTGACAAATACATATATGTGATAATCACCATTCCAGTCAAGGTATAGATTATTTCCATCATCCCTGAAAGTTCTCTTGTGTCTTGCTGCAGTCATTTCTGCTGTACCTGTACAAACAACTACAATCTAAGTTTGTTGTTATTGATTAATTTAGCCTGTTCTGGAACTTTATATGCATTAAATCAAAGAGTGTGTACCTTTTAATTCTAGCTTCATTCAAACTGCGCATGATTCAAATACTTATTGAGTCAATTTTGGCAACTTATATTTTTAAAGAAAAGCATCTATTTTATTTAAATTTCCAAATGTATTGCTACAGAGTATTAGTAACATTTATACTTGAAAATATTTTAACTGTGTTTATGGTTATATACAGGTCTTTATTCTTTGTGTTCTATATTTGTGTCTTGTTTTTTTGTTTTGTTTTTAAGAGAGAGAGCCCAAATGAGGGAGAGGGACGGGGTTGGGGGTGGGGAGTGAGAGAGAGGGAGAGATAAGGGCAGAGAGAGAGAGAAGGGCAGAGAAAGAGAAGCTTAAGTAGGTTCCATGCTTGGGGTGGAGCCCGAGGAAGGGCTTGATCCGATGACCCTGGGATCATTACCTGAGCTGAAATCAAGAGTTGGACGCTCAACTGACTGAGCCACCAAGGCACCCCATATATTTGTGTCTAGTTTTTATTGATTAGCCTCGATAGAGATTTATATGTTTCATGTTTTCAAGCAAACTTTCTTGGATTTTTTTTTTTCTGGTTATTATTTTTCTTTGTTCATTCGTTTTATATTCTGTTTCCTATTTTCGTTTTATTTTTAGATATTTGATTTGAACTTGTAACAATTTAATACATTTCAATCTTTTAAACATTCTTCAAAGTACTGCATTGACTGTATCATTTAAGTTTTGATATATAACGTTGGCATTGCTAATTTTTAACTTTTTTTTTAAGTGTGTTTTTGGGAAGTTTATGGTTAAAGTTTTTATATCTAGACACATCAAAGTATTTTATAATAAAGTAGATTATTTCTTTCCTATTCTGAAAGTATTGTTATGATTAGTTGTAATTCTTTTTGTTATTTTAATTTTTTTTTTTAATATGTCCTTTCTTGTCTTGGTGCTTGGACCATGTTTTCTTTGTTTTTATAGTCTCCAACATTTTTATTTGTATGTATTATATTTTACTTATTTATTTTAAATATTTATTTTATTTATTTTATTTATTTTGAGGGAGAGGGAGAGAGAGAATCCCAAGCATGCTCCACACTGTCAGTGCAGAGTCTGATACAGGGCTTGAACTCACAAAACATGAGATCATGACCTGAACCAAAACCAAGAGTCTGATGCTTAACCTACTGAGCCACCCAGGCACCCCTAACTGGAATGTTTTAATTTCTCCTGTACTTTTGAAGGATAGTTTTATCCAATATAGAAATCTTGGCTGAAGTTTTTGAAGCACTTTGAAAAGTTATTCCACTGTCTTTTGGCCTCTGCTTTCTGATGTTAATCTTACTGAGGATCCCTTATAAATGAATTGTACCTCTTGTTGCTTTCAAGATTTTTTTTCCACAGCTGGATTATGATGTGTCTGGGTTTGCATCTCTTTGAGGTTAGTTTATTTGGAGTTTGTTGCACTTCTAAGATGTATAGATTAATGTTTTTTATCATATTTGGGGGAGTTTTTGGCTATTATTTCTTCCCCTTTTCTTCTCTTCTGAGACTCAGTATGTGAATGTCAGATAGGGTTGCTGTTGTCCCACAGGTCTCTGAGGCCTGTTCATATTTCTTCATTCTTTTTTCTTTTTATTCCTCAGACTCTGTAACTGTTCCTCAGACTCAATAATGTAACTGACCTGTCTTGAACTTCATTGGCTCTTCTGCCTCCTCATATCTGCTGTTGAGCCTCTCTAGTGAATTTTTTGACTTTGTTATACTCTTGACAACAGAAATTCTACTTGGTGAGACCTACTTATTTATTGTGCTTTCTCCTTTAGTACATGGTTTTCTTTAGGTTTTTGAACATACTTAAAATTTTTTTTCTAGTTAGGGCAAACACCTGTGCTTTCTTAGGGATAGTTGGTAGCTTTTTTCCTATGAGTAAACCATACCTTTTCATTTCTTTGCATGTCTCATTTTTTTGTTGTTGAAAAGTGGACATTTAAGGGCACCTGGGTGGCTCAGTTGGTTGAGCATCCGACTTTTGCTCAGGTCATGATCTCCCAGTTTGTGGGTTTGAGCCCCGCATCAGGCTCTGTGCTGACAGCTTGCTCAGAGCCTGCAGCCTGCTTCGGATTCTGTGTCTCCTTCTCTCTCTTTGCCCCTCCCCCGCTCATGCTCTGTCTCTCTCTGTCTCTCAAAAATAAATAAATGTTAAAAAAAAATTTTTTTTTTTAAAGTGGACATTTAAAATAATGTGGCAGCTGTAAAAATTAGATTCTTCATCTCCAGAGTTGTTTGTTGTTGCTGATTTTGGTAATTGTTGCTTGTTTAGTGACTTTTCTGAATTAACCCTGTATAATCTACTGATGTCTTTGCATGGTTAGCTTAATGGTCAGCTTATGATTATACCAGAGCCAGTACATCTGTCAGTCTTTAGTAAGAGAGGGTCTGTACATCAATCAGTATTTAGTAAGGAGGGTCTGTTTGCATTTGGGGCACTCCTTCAGCACTCAGCCAAGCAGTTGACAACTCTGCCTTAACCTTCATGTCCTGGTTGTTCAGAACCTCAAGTTTATCCAGAGGTGAGAGCTCAGGGTCTTCTCAGGTCTTTTCCTGATCATATGTACAGCCCTATGCATGTGTATAGCCCTATGCTTGCATATGGCCTTCTACATTCCCAGGAATGTATTGGAGCTTTTCAAAGCCCCTATGAACATCTTAGTCCTCAGCTTTCCTTTTAATCCTTTTGGTTATTGTATTGTTTACTCCACTTGTTATCCACTGCCTGTAAAATTGTTTTTGACCAACATTCACCCAAGGGAGGTTTTTTGTGGTGGATGAGCTGAGAGATCAAAGAGAAATCACTTTGCAGGTGGGGATCTTCTGGAGCACCTTGATACAGGTCAAATAATGACAGTTCTTTGGGAATGAATCTTTGAAAGATTCTGTTCCATTATATTCCCTCTAGTGACTGCTAGACTACACCAAGAATTTTCATAGGTTATTATTTTTTTTTAATGTTTGTTTATTTTGATCTGGGATGGGGGCAAAAAGAGAATCCCTAGCAGGCTCCGTGTTGTCAGCGCAAAGCCAGAGGGGCTGTACCCCATGAGCCATGATGAGATCATGACCTGAGCTGAAATCAAGAGTCAAGCATTCAACTGGCTGAGCCACCCAGGCACCCCCAGAAGATTGTTATTTTTAAAGGCTATCATGCAGCTGAAAGCTGGAGAATGTTCAGCTGTTTTTCTTCCTTGTTTTTTTGTTTTTTTTTTTAATTTTTTAAAATATTTATTTTTTTGGTGCCTGGGTCAGGCGAGTTTGTTATACGTCCGAGTTTCAGCTGTAATGATTCAGCGGGCTGTCCGGGAGAGTTCTCGCCGGGTTTCTGGGATGGCTCAGAGCCTGGAGCCTGTCAGGCCTTTCGCCGTCGCCCACCATATGCTCTGTCTCTCTCTGTCCCAAAAATAAATAAACGTTGAAAAAAAAAAATTAAAAAAAAAATTTATTTTTGAGAGAGACAGAGACTGAGTGGGGGAGGGGCAGAGAGAGAGAGAGAGAGAGAGAGAGAGAGAGAGAGAGAGAGACAGAATCTGAAACAGGCTTCAGGCTCTGAGCTGTCAACACAGAGCCCGACATGGAGCTCGAACTCACAAACTAGGAGATTATGACTTGAGCCGAAGTCGGATGCTTAACCAACTGAGCCACCCAGGTGTCCATCAGTTGTTTTTCTTGAATTAACACCCCTGCCCAGGGTTTCTCCAATATTTTGGCTGGTTTCCAGATGTCTGGAAAAGTTGATTCTGACCATTTCTGTCAGTTTTTTCATTGCTTTTATGCAAGAATTTTGAAAAGTCCTTACTCTTCCATTTTCAATGATGTTATCTTCAGCCAACTTTTAGTCAAGTGAAATCAGAAATGGCATGAGTTGAAGGTTGGATATATTTTCTTATTCAGATCCATTCTGACTTATAATTAATATCTTTCCCCCTTTTAGAGTCTGGAGAAATCAGACTTAGGAACCAGCCTTCCTGGATTTAAATTCTAGCTCTGCTATACTACTAGCTTTGTGACTTTGGGCAAGTTACTTAACTTTTCTATGCTTTAGTCTTCATCTGTAAAATTGGGTGTAATGACAGTATCTACCAGTAGTGTTGTGAGGATTTAAAAAGTCAAATCTCTGTTATGTACTTAGAATAATGGTATGTAATAAGCGCTCCATAAAGATTACCTGTTTCCAGAAGTTATGATGTTGAAAATTTTAGATAGTGTGAATCTTTTATTTAGTTTTGATTGTATCTTTCAGATATCAAGGATTTGTTAACTTCCCAGTGAATGTAAGTTAAAAAAATGCTGTAAAAGAATCATTATAAAATATGCTTTTTATATTACTATTACAAATGTGAATCCAAGAAAATACATATTTCTTATATGAAGTGTTATTTGGTAAGCAGTAAAAAATGAATGGAAATCCCAGATAAAGTTTGATGAAGAAAGCTCCTATTGTATGTTTATTATTTATAATATTATCTGTTGATTATTTCATTAGGTTAATAATAATGAAATGGTTGCATTACAACGGGAACCCAATAACCCCTATGATAAGAATGCAGTTAAAGTAAACAATGTGAATGGAAATCAGGTTGGCCATTTAAAGAAAGATCTAGCAGCTGCTTTGGCCTATATCATGGACAACAAATTGGCACAAATTGAAGGGTAATGTACTTTCAGAGTTTAGTTTTAATAATTGTAAGTTTCAGTCTTTGAATTTGTTAAGAGTCAGTATAGTTGCCCTGACATCTTTTGTCACTGTGCCTTTAGTATGTGTTCAATTAATATGTTAATTCTTTTCTCATCTGCCTCTACTACCTTAGCCATGAAACAACTGTTCTTTCACTTTCCTATTGAATTATTACCACAGAGAAAAATTGACTTTGCTCAGATATTAGGAAGCCCACACCATCTGTCCAAGCTTTTTAGTGCATAGTTTTGGGAGTTGGGAACTGTTTGTTTAAACCTGAGGTGGTAAACTGGTAGCCTGTGATCATATGTAGGTGCATTTCATTTTGCCTACATGTTTTACAATTTTTCGTTTATTTCCAGTATTCAAATACCTGGATACCCTACATTTTATACAGGGTAACTTCTTCCCTAATGTAAAAATTATTTATGAATATTTCTGTTGACAAATGGCAGATCTGACCTTCATTTTCACAGGACATTAGTTGACTGGAACAGAGTAGCAGCTCCTGCTTTAATACCCTGCGTAATGCCCTTACTGCCTCTCCCAGTTCTACCACTTCTTTTTTTTTTTTTTTTTTTTAAACTCCCAGTCTCCTTGGTTATCTTTTCTCTTTTAGGCATTTAGTTTGTGATCTCAGTTGAAGTATGGAATATTGAGGATATGAAAAGGTGAAGTTTGATGATAAATGTTCAGTAATATCTTCTCACTTTACTTGTTTTCTCCAATCTCAGTTTATTAAATTTTTCAGATACTGAGAATAAACTTTTAGTGAATCCTTGATCAGAAAAACATTTGACCCTTGAACAAAATGGTTTGACCTGCCTGGGCCCCATTATATGCAGATTTTTTTTTTAATAAATGCAGTATAGTAATGTGAATGTATTTTATTTTCCTTATGTTGTTAATGTTTTCTGTAGCTTACTTTAAGAACACAGTATGTAATTCCTGTAAACTACAAAATTTGTGTTGTTGGTAAAGCTGCTGGTCAACATTAGGCTATTAGTTGTTTTGGGGGAGTCAAAAGTTATATGTGGATTTTTGACGGCACCAGGGGGTCAGCGTACCTAAACCCCATGCTGTTCAAGGGTCAGATGTAATTCTTGCAATTCAGTCCCCATTCTCAGAATAGTTGCTACCTATAGTGGTTCCTTTAATGAAAGCTCCACCTTCTCAATTAAATATACTATTTTACCTGTCTTATAATCTCAGTTATAGGCTATTCTTTATTCCATCTTCTCCGTTTCTTCTGGCTTTCTGTTCCTAAAAACCACTCTTTTGTTCTGGTTGTTTTTGATCCTGTTCCCTGTACTTTTTCTGTCTTTCTACTTTGCCCAAATAGTTCTTTATTTTACTTCTTTGCAAAATTAAAATGCAACACTTCTAATATTTAATAGTCACATTCTTCTTCATGGAAGTGGAAAATAACAGTTCTAATTCCCTCTTTTTTTTCCTGCTTTTAAATATAATAGGGTCGTTCCTTTTGGTGCAAACAATGCTTTTACCATGCCTCTCCATATGACTTTTTGGGGAAAAGAAGAAAATAGGAAAGCGGTTTTAGATCAGTTAAAGAAACATGGATTTAAATTGGGTCCTGCACCAAAAAGTAAGTTTAGGGTTTAAGCTTCTATTATTTTGATATCATAAGATGCAGGAATTGTAAAACATTTTTTCTGGAGTTTGGCTAATCAATTTGTGTTGAAGGCTCTGAGTTGTAACTTTTCTCAGGAATCTTTTTAAGGAAATCCCTGAATTTTTTTCTCTTTATTTTGAAATAATTATAGATTTATAGGAGGGAGTATGTGTGTTCGTGTACACGCACACATATGTACAAAAAGGTCCTATATTCCCTCCTCTAATTTCCCCCAATGATAATATCTGGAAATCCCTAATTTGCAAGTATTGTCTTTGATAAATTATAGACAAAAAGAATCTCCCAATAGCGAATGAAGTAGAAGTATTTATCTGGCAAGAGTTTGTTCAAATAATGTGGAATTATTTTAATAATGTATTTTTTAAATGACTTTTAGTTTTTATTTTTTTTAATTTTTTTAATGTTTATTTTTGAGAGAGAGAGACAGAGTGTGAATGGGGGAAGGGCAGAGAGAGAGGGATTCACAGTATGTGAAGCAGACTCCAGGCTCTGAGCTGTCAGCACAGAGCCTGACACGGGGCTCGAACTCACAGACTGTTAAGATCGTGACCTGAGCCAAAGTCGGGAGTCTTAACCTGCTGAGCCACCCAGGTGTCCCTGAATGACTTTTAGTTTTTAAAAAATCTTTGAAATATATTGATTTTTTTTTTAAATGCAACTAATACAAGTTCTAAAAGTTACTTATTGAAAGATAATTCATTTGGTGATTTTATTATTTTCATTTGTAAATTGCAGCTTTAGGATTCAGTTTAGAAAGTAGTTGGGGCTCTGGAAGAGCTGGACCAAGCTATAGTATGCCAGTTCATGCTGCAGTACAGATGACAACTGAACAGGTATGCTTCTGTTTTATTTTATAATCTTAAAAGTAAATGTTAAATGTTGAAGATTGATGTTTAAAAGAATAAGATAAATATGTATATGCTGGTATTTGTGATCTTCAGATATATTAAGTTATGAAACATGCTGTAGAATAAATAGAATATATATGAAAAACATTTATGTAAAAGGAAAGTAATGATAGGTAGTGCATACACATTCATACATATTTTAAAACACGTGCGTTGTTGTATAGATAGGCATGGGATGTTTTAGTATGTTTTAATATTTTTGTATTACATGAAATTTTTTTAATGTCCAAATATTAACTTTAAAAAATTGAAGCTTGAAACTTTTCATTCAATAAGGTTGCAAATGAAATGCAAAGAGAAATTAATTCCAAATCTTAGCATTAGTATAGTTCTTACTTTGTCTAATTTGTGAGCTAAGATACTGTTAGGCTGAGTTAATTTAGAAAAAAAGATGTAAAATAAATCAATGGAGATTAGTCTATAATTCACATCAAATCTTTTTTGTTTTTACCCATCTGTGTTAGCCTTTTTGTCTAATTGCAGTTGCCATATTTTACCTGATCATTATTAGTAGGGCTTGAGCCTGTGCTACTGTTTTTATTTATTTTTGAGAGAGAGAGCGTGAGTGGGGGAGGGACAGAGGATCCAAAGTGGCCTAAGCACTGACAGCAGCAAGCCAGATGTGAGGCTCAAACTCATTATCTGTGAGATCGTGACCTGAGCCCAAGTCGGCTGCTCAACTGACTGAGCGACCCAAGTGCCCCTAGACTAGATCAGTTTAAAGAACCAGCTAAATTAGTGTAAGATTGAAATCATCTCTTAATATTTTGTAGCACATAGCAAGTTCTTTGTTTTAGTAATAGTAAATGAAATGTCTTTGACGTGAAAAAAGTCAAATGTGCCCGGTAGGATCTGCCAAAATTGTTTGAATACAACTAATAGGCTTACAGAATTTCAGTGGCAGAAGGAACCTTAGAGACACTCTAAATCTAAATTATCCCTTTCATTTTACAGGAATAAGATAAAGGGCCATAAAGGTTAAGTCTCTCACCCAATGTTGTATATGGGTTAGTTTGTGATAAAACTGGGACAAGCCTCAGATTTTTCTCTTCTGTATTCTTTTGATTCTAACACGGTTACTTTAAAAAAAAATTTTTTTTTAATGTTTGTTTATTTTTGAGAGAGAGAGAGAGAGACAGGGCATGAGCATGGGAGGGGCAGAGAGAGGGAGACACAGAATCTGAAGTAGGCTCCAAGCTCTGAGCTGTCAGCACAGAACCTGATGCTGGGCACAAACTCACGAACTTGTGAGATCATGACCTGAGCCGAAGTCAGTCGCTCAACAACTGAGCCACCCAGGCACCCCTATGGTTAACCTTTTATACCCAAAGCACCTGTTCATACTGCTTCAGTGAACAGTGTAACAACTCAAAGAATATTTTAGGTACCTTTTGGTATTCAAATCTTTTAGTTAATTAAATGATTTGAAAAGTCTGAAGTGAGATTATTTTAATTTGTTTCATGATGTTTCTTGGTATTGTTTGTTATAGCTTAAAACAGAATTTGACAAATTGTTTGAAGATTTAAAAGAAGATGATAAAACTCATGAAATGGAGCCAGCTGAGGTACTGAGCCAATATTTTCTATTTAAAACTATTTGGAATTTTAAAATATGCTGTGTATCTATATAGTTTTTAGCACAAGATCAAGTGTTTTCCAGAATCTGCATGGGGGAAAAAAAATGATTTGTTTTATTTCTATTTAAGACATTCCTTTTGTTTATAGGCTGTTGAAACACCATTGCTTCCACATCAAAAACAAGCTCTAGCTTGGATGGTTTCACGGGAAAACAGTAAAGACCTTCCACCGTTTTGGGAACAGCGAAGTGACTTCTACTACAACACAATAACAAATTTTTCTGAGAAGGATCGACCAGAAAATGTCCATGGAGGAATTTTAGCTGATGATATGGGTTTGGTAATTATTTTTTTCTTGAATTAATTTTATTTTATTTTATTTAAAAAAAATTTTTTTTAATGTTTATTCATTATTGAGAGATAGAAATTGAGCATGAGCAGGGGAGGGGCAGAGAGAAGGGGAGACACAGAATCCGAAGCAGGCTCCAGGCTCTGAGCTGTCAGCACAGAGCCCGACGCGGGGCTCGAACTCACCAACCGTGAGATCATGACCTGAGCCAAAGTCGGCTGCCCAACCGACTGAGCCACCCAGGCGCCCCTTGAGTTAATTTTATTTTGTAATTATGATTTTATAGAAGTAATTTTGAAGTCGATAGAGATATGAATATGTTGGTGTCAGTGTGGGACTAGATTTCACTTTCAGTATGGAACAGTTTTCTCTAAGTCTTTTCACTTAAAATGTGGCTACTTTTTTTCTTTTGGTTTGTTTGGTTGATTAGCAATAATGTGTAAACATGTGTTTCTCATTTTTCAAATTCAAGTAGATTATCTTTCATGAATTTTCTTTAAAAAAAGGGAAAGACAACAATGTTACATGAAACTATTCTATCATAGTATTGTGATATACAGAGTATTAAATATACCTTTATGATGCCTTACACCAGCAGTTTTTATACTTTTTGGTCTCAGTAACCTTTAATACTCTTATAAATTTTTGAGGATTTCAAGGAGCTTTTTGTTTTTGTGAGTTATATCCATATTTATAGTATTAGACATTAAAACAAAAAAATTTAAGTTATTTTAAAATAATAGTTAATAAATACATTACTTGTTAACATAAATAGTGTATTTTTAAATGAAAAAGGACTATTCCAAAACAAAAGTAGTTTTGATAAGAATGGCATTGTTTTACATTTTTGCAAATCACTTTAATGTTTGGTCTAATAAGATGAATTTTGAATTGTCCTAACTGCTTATTCATTCAGTCTGTTGTAACATGGTGTTTCGGTATAAGTACATAACGAAGATTAGTTCTCATGCAGATATGTAGTTGGGAAACAGGAGGAGGATTTTTTTTTTTTTTTTTTCAACGTTTATTTATTTTTGGGACAGAGAGAGACAGAGCATGAGCAGGGGAGGGACAGAGAGAGGGAGACACAGAATCGGAAACAGGCTCCAGGCTCTGAGCCATCATCCCAGAGCCCGACGCGGGGCTCGAACTCACGGACCGCGAGATCGTGACCTGGCTGAAGTCGGACGCTTAACCGACTGCGCCACCCAGGCGCCCCCAGGAGGAGGATTTTAATAGCCTTTTTAGATAACTTTTATAATTCTTTGATACAACAGTGAAATTAAGCAAGTATTAGTTTATTAAAGGTTAGTAGTTACAATGTAGAATTTAAAAATGGTATTAGAATGGTTTTGTATTGTGTTCCATTAAAATTCATTGGTTTAGCTTGCCCATTGAATGGATATTTTAATCATGCATGATTTTATAACATCAGGCATTGCTTATTTAGAAAATATTGGTTCATTGAGTTACACACATCTGCCAGATGTTGATGCATTTCATTATATAGGATCAAAAGTTTACACTCTTTGATATTACTGCTGATCATATTAGGCATTTATATTTTGAGAAGCTGCCTGTGCTCATGGTGTCAGATATAAGTGTTCCAACATTCTAATTTTTGCTTGAAAGTTCAGATCTTACCATTAACAACAAATCTGTTTATTTGCCCTTAAAGATAGCCTTACTTTGTTCATTTTTCAAGAAAAAGTCTACCACTCAGTCATGAATAACTGGTTATTGGTCATTCTTTCAAGTAGAAATAATGAAGCATGAAAAAGTGATGATGCATGGTGGTGCATGGTGGCTAGTTGAGGTTGTAACCTCAGTTTCACAAGTAATTTTTCTGTAGATAATCCTCATATTTTGGTGTGCAACAGAGTTTATATGTATTTCCCATCTTGTTATACAGAATATTAAAAAGGTGTGTACTTGAGGCAAGATTTAATAAAATTCATGTGTACTGCTTCATCAAGAATATTCTTACAGAACATTCTTAAAATGAAACTGGCATTTTTTTTTTTTTTAAACTGTGAGTATGTGGCAGCTAAAAATACAATGTATAATGTAGTGCCAATGGCTTTGTTTCATGCTAAGGCACCAGCAGTTTTACCCACAACTCCCTTTTGTGGCATTACTAAAGATATAACACAAATAATGTCTTGGTAGTATTATGAAAATGGATTTGACTGCACATACACTCCTTAGAGGGTTCTGGGAAATCCTAGGGCCTGTGGACTACACTTAGAAAACTGCTGCCTTAACTGTTTTAAAATTGCCAGAGAGTTCTGTCTGTGTTGCTAATTACAAATTCAGCTATGGAAAATAATGAAAGATTATGTGTTTTTATTTAAGAAAAATGCATAAGAAACACCATGTCCTTTATGCTTGATAAGTTACAGGTTTTAAGTATTACAGTTATCTTTAAATGAAATAAAATGATTGTATCATGTGCATATTGGAATTACTAACCATTTTAAATTAGCTCTGAACTACATGGCAAGCAAATAGCTGTGGTTTCATGATAAATTTATTAGTTCAGAGTTAAATGTAAAATCTTAGGACAGCAATCACTTAATAGAATGACATTTCTCAGGGATGCTTATAGTATTTTATGGAGTACATCATTTAATTATTCTTAGTAATACAGTGTGGGAAGGCATTTCCTAATCAACAAAATACTTTTACTAATACATAAATTATTTAATACAATAGTATGTTCCTATGGCCTTGAATACTACATAATATTTGCTTACTTGATTTTTAAATTGGTTTTAGAATGTTCTATGGCCAACTGAGTTTCAGAATCTGACCATTTGTCTTTTAAAATATTTTTTAAGGGCAAAACTTTGACAGCCATTGCAGTAATTCTTACCAACTTCCATGATGGCAAACCTCTTCCTGTTGAGAGAATTAAAAAAAGTCAACTGAAGAAGGTAAAGTATTAGAGTGTTTTCTCCGAAGTCTCTGGTTCATTTTAAGACCTTTTAATTTTACCATTAAAAAATAATTTGCCAAAAAATTGATAATATCCAGTGTTTTCAGAGAAACGGTGAAAGGCCTCTCTTATGTGTTGCTGATAAGAGTGAAAGTTGGATACTAAATTCTTGAGGGTAATTGGGTAATATATATCAAGAATCCTAAAAGTGTTTATAATCTGTGATTTGGTAATGCCATTTCAGAGAAACTGTGTAAGAAAGTTATTAGAAATGCATTTTTTTTCAGAGATAGAAAAGTACAAATCTCTCCCCCGAACCCCAGCATTATTTTAAAGGCACAAAAGAAACTACTTTCAATAAGGTAACAGTTATGTTAATAAATAGTCATAAAATTTAATATTATGCAACTACAAAATCCTGTTCTTTGAAGAATACTTATTTTTATGATATTTTTAGTTTAAAAAAAAAAAAAGGCCAGGTACACATTTATGAGTTGAGTCCTCATTTTGGAAAGGCATATTTATGTATGTCTGAATATAGTCACACACAGTGCTAATTGTGTCCTAGTGATGATAACATGGGTTAACTTTCTTGATACTTACCTAATATATATTTTTACACATGGCATACAAACACAATATATTTATATTTAGTTTTTAAGAATTAAAAGTGAGTTCATTTTAATGGAAAAAATAAATGTTAGAATGAAACAATTGTTTTTCATTCTCAGATGAAAATCCAAAGAACTTAAAGTAGGAAATAGCTGAGAAAATGGCATATGCAAAATAACTTTTTTTTTTTTTTTGACTTTTCTAAGTTTTTCTTTATTTTTTTAAGGTTTATTTGAAAAAGAGAGAACAGGGGAGGGGCGGAGAGAGAGAATCCCAAACAGGCTCTGTGGTGTCAGCACAGAGGCCAACATGGGGCTCAAACCCATGAACCACGAGATCATGACCTGAGCTGAAACCAAGAGTCAGACGCTTAACTGGCTGAGTGACCCAGGTGTCCGTAATTTTTTAGTTTTTAAAGAGGCTGCATATCAGTTTCCTGCCACTGCATATTGAGAGTCTATTTATTAATTTCTGCACTTAGTTGCATTTTCTTCTTTGTACTTTTATTGGGAGTTTAACTCTGTCATTTGAATGTCTGAGATTCAACTGCTTACCATGAGTAGTTTGATGCTTTACATCCTGTTCTTCCTAATTTGGTAATTAAAACAGAAGAACATCACCTAAGACTATACTGACAGCTTCGGTAGCAATTAATAGCTTAAAAAATTATCATCAGTAAGGCTTTTCCTCCCCACCACCCCCCGCCCCAGAATCAGCCATGCATTTAAGGTATTGTGTTTAAGTAGGAAGGTTTTAGGATATTTAGTTTGCCCCATTCCTTACAATTGAGGCTAAAAACATGATTTCCAGCTAAGAATTTATTGCAGCAAAAATTACACTGTTTTAAATAAATTTAGATATTCCAGGCTTACAGAGTGAAATGTCACTGATTTAAGTTCCATTAGATTGGAATGTAGTATGATTTAATAGGTTGGACTTCGTAGGTTTACATTTGAACTCTCAGAAGAAAAAACTTACTGAGCAAAATCATTTAATATAAAACAGTAACGTAAAGGACATTTTTTTTTTTATCATTTAATATAAAACAGTAATGTAAAGGACATCCACATGTATTTGTGGATGAATCTCTAGATTCTTTTTTCCATGTTGTTAAATATAAATGGTTGTACTAATTATTGAAGAAGACTAGGTATAACATTTGGTGAGAAGCATTTTTAACATCAGTTTCTTGCACTGGGTGTTGTATATAAGTGATGAATCACTAAAATCTACATCTGAAACTAATATTGCACTGTATGTGAACTAACTGGATTTTAAATAAAAACTTAAAAAAAATCCATTTGTCTAGCTTGTAAGAAAAAAAAACAATGGTGTAATACTGCTCTAATAAAAATGACAATTTTGGATTGTAGTGTATCATGTATTTAATATTTAATGGCTGTGCAATCTTAAATAATAAATATTTGACATTGGTTAAAGTAAAAATACCCTGAGCTCTGAAAAAAAAGACAAAAACTTATTTATCTAAAATAATTCCTCTAGTTATATTTTTCTATCTATTTTAGATTTTCAACATATTTAGACTCATACCATTAGAAGGAGATGGATCTTTTCAACTACATTTTTAGTAAAATTTAACTCTGGGATTTTATAAGATGTTTCAAATTTTATTTTTTTTAAACTAAAATCAAACTATCCATTATTAGCCCTAATCTCAGCAGAAATTACTTTTTACTCTTGACCACCAGTTCTAATCTCCATTCAGTATGACTTCATCACCTCTCTTTTTCAATGGGAAGAATTAAATTCAAACCAATTGGCATTTGTCATTCCTCCCTACAGAATCATTAAGTCAAGAATTAAAGATTGGAGGAACCCTTCCCATTAGAATCATTTAAAAATATTTTTACAAAGAGATATAAAATTGTACTTTTATAGAAGTTTTTGTACATATGTCTGCATTGATACATTTTGAACCAAAGGGATATACATGAAGGGTAAAAGAAAAAGTCCGGGCTGGCAAGAAAATCCTCAATAGAATATGACAGAAGAGAATATCCTAGTACTCTAGGATCTGTACTATTGCATCTACCCCCTGGGAGTTCCAGAGAACAAGATGGCAATGAGGGCCTCATTAAAGATAAGTTATTCACTCAGTAGGGACTCTTGGTTTGAAAGTTTGTAGTCTGAGAATTCCTTTTAATTCTTAAGTAAATTCCATTTCACAAGTGTTTCTTACATTAATGAATATGCCATTTATAACTGAGTTTTGTTATTTGTATTTCTTTTGAACAGATACAGACCAACTAGTGTTCACTTTTGAGATAGCTGTGAAAAAAATTTTAATTGGTTTATTTTTCCTCTTCACTTAATGCATCTCCCCCAATTGCCCCAGAATGGGATAGCAATATAAGTAATCTTTATTATGTAAAGCAAAGCAGTATAAAATAGGATGCTTTTTAAGTTTATTTAAAACTGACAGCAGTGCTTTGTAAGAAATATGCCTTTTCATCCAGGAGTGTAATGTTAACGATCAAACTATGAAACTTGGAGGAAATACCAGTGAAAAGGCAGATGGACTAATCAAAGGTAAAGTTTACTTTTGAACCGTGACCCCATATTTGATTTAAAATTTTCCAGTTTGATGATGTAATTCAAGCTCTGGCTTTGTAATATACAAAGATTTTAGATATTTTTTTCTAAAAATCTCGGGAGAACTGGTAGGAAAAATCTCATCAAGGAGGTCATGATGGAATTGGGTGGTTGTATACCAGTCAGAGAAGCTAAGGAAGAACATTTTTGGTTGAGAAAAAAAATTCATGAAAGGGCAGTAAAAACAAAAGAACAACATAAAACCTATTTTGTTCTGGGACCTCAGAGTAGTTTGTGTTAATAATAATGTAATATGCATGAATAATAGCAGATAAGAATAGAAAGATAGGTTAGAGCCAAATTCTGAAGTTAGAGGATAAATGAAAAGAGAACTCTGGATTTAGCAGTTAAATAGCTGGTGTAGCTGTTAATGGCCTTTGGAAAATTAATTTCTGAAGATTGGTTAGAACAGAAAAACTGAAAATATTTTCAGACAGAATAGTAAGTGAAGAATTGGAAATGACAGTTGTATGCTATTATGTATTTTGCTAAGTTTGAAATAGGAGAAACAAAAATCGTTGGAAATGAAGGCAGAGTTGAGGGTTTTTTTTTTTTTTTTTGCTGGGGAGAGCATTATGAAAGAAACCCGTGGGTAAGAGATGTGGGATAAAATGGAGAGAATAATTTTTAGGCCTCTTGGTGGGGGCGGGCAATGAGAACAAGAGCATAGATAAGTGAATTAACGTTAGAAGGAAAGAAAGTAAGGTTGGTGGGAAATATTTGAGGGAATTTTAAAAAGGTAGGAAAATTGGGATTATAGAAAATGGTATTCAATTTTCTTTGAAGGTGAAGTAGGTCATCATCTAGGAGTCAAGGGAGTGAAGAATCTAGGCAAAGGGTCCAGTATATACCACTGTGGGTAGGGAGGCTGAGTGATACATAAAAGAGTTGCTAAGTGACACAGGCAGCAGGTGAGATTTGAAAATGTAAACTTGTAATGCCACCTATTTATTGTTCATTTTTTTCCAGCAGCTCTTAGCTGCCTTGGTGTACAGCAGGAAATTCAGCCAGCCAGTTTGGGAATTGGCTGGATGACTACAGGGGAAAGACTGGGTACAAGAAATTGAAGGTATTTTTTAGTGAGAATATACTATACTTAAAAACTAGTAGAGAGAATAGCTGGCTGATTGAAAGAAGAGGAATGAAGATACTAAGAAAGTTGAACTATTGAGTTGGAAAACCAAAGTTTTAAGGATACTCAGTCAAGACAGTTTACTAATACTCTGTATATTTGTCCTTTTCTTTGAAATGAAAGGATCTAGATGTAGTGGAGAACCCAGTATTTCAGATGTCAAGGGAAAGAATAAATATCCCAAGTCAGAATTGTCTAGCTCCCGCCCCAAAAGGTAAATTTTGTTATGGTTTGATTGTATGTAATATTTGTTTAAACTCTTTCTCCATTTTCTTATATATAGGAGAGAGATAAGACCATTATATCTCAGTTATGTAGTTCTTTCAAATTCATTCTGTTATTTGAAACTACCAAAATCACTGTTACTTAGGCAGGTTGGGTGTTCCTATTTTATAGGTGAAGAAAAGTAATACTAATCTATAAAAGAAGTGAATTGATAGTTTCTAATAATCACTTAACCTTTCTACCACTTTCTTTCCTGTTCTTTTACATAGGAACTAAGATCTAGCTTCCAAGTTTTTTGTTTTTGTTGACTTTGGAAGAGTTTTCCTATTATTTTCAGGAGATAAAAACTGACAGCTATTTATTAGATGACTTGGTAGAAACACTCTGTTCATCTCAGTTCTTTCTCTCTTCACCTTTAGTAGAAATAAAATATGATGAAGTTATTTATGGAGACTATTGTGTTAATGTAGACTAGAGGGAGAATTTGAATAAAGCGCATAATGCTCCTCTGATGTTAACTTGAATCTGTTAACTTTATAAATTTCATTTACCCTCTGAAATAGGTCTAAATGACTTTTATTTGTACTGTATTTTCTACCATTAATATCTGCAGATGTGATTTCAAATCTGAGTCTCTGTTAGTCCAATAAGGATCTCAAAAGTGGGGATTTTAATTGTTTTCTTCATTATTACCTGTCTTAAACTGAGCACAAAACCAGGGCACCTCAGTTTCTCATCTGGATCTCAAATCTTACAATTCTGAGCTGACCATGATGAGCCTGAGAATAGCACTATTAGGTTGACCAGATAAGATTAAAGGACATAGAAATAAAAATAAAGAGGACATGGGATAAACTAATAACCAATACATATGATAATTTATACATGTATGTTACTGTGCAACAGGCACTATTTTAGAGGCTTTGCATATAGTAACACATTTTATCCTATGAAGTGAATTGTATTTTTGCTCGTATTTTCCAAATGAGGAAATTAAAGCATAGATGAATATTAAGTAACTTGCGTAAAGTCACATAGCAAATAAGTAGCTGAATGGGATTTGAATACAGGCAGTCTGACTCCAGAGGCCGTTATTTTTAACAACTTAATCACTGTAATGTACTTTCTACACAAAATACATAAAATTTTTCATTGTGAATTATATTTTTCTCTTAGCTGCTCATTTTATATTGGAATTATTTTCTTTGATAAGAGTTATTCTTAGTTCTAGTTTTATATAGGTGTTTCATTTGAATTACTGAATATTAAATTCAATATTAAAATTATTATTTTAGAATGGTTTTCTTTTTCAAATTTAATAATAGTGGTACTGCATTTTGTATATAAATGTATCTGGTTATGAAAGCAAAATGCTTTTTAGGAAATTTTACTTTCATTTGTCAAAGTTCCTTGAATTAAAACAATAGGAAGCATTATACTGCTTTTATTAAAACTTATGTTTTCATATCTCATTTTATTTTGGTTTGATAAAAAATTTGTGTACACTTTATTTTAGAAGAAAAACTGTTGTCCAGTATATTGAAAGCAGTGATTCAGAAGAAATTGAAACAAATGAATTGCCACAGAAAATGAAAGGTAATGTGAAATGGATTTGATTTGATAATGTGTCCTTTATTCTGATTTCCTACTGTGACTATTTTTATATTTGGTTTTGTTGTAGGCAAACTGAAAAATTCACAGTCTGAGACTAAAAGAGTAAAAGGTATGTATATACATCTCAGTATCCATAATCTACTCTTAAAGATTATTAAAGTAAAACTCCATAGGTTTGTATCTCTCTAGCTTAGAATTCTTTAGTAGCAGATCTTTTTTTTTTTAACTTATTTTTTTCTAATGTTTATTTATTTTTAAGAGAGAGAGAGAGACAGAGCACGAGCAGGGGAGGGGCAGAGAGAGAGGGAGACACAGAATGTGAAACAGGCTCCAGTCTCTGAGCTGTCAGCACAGAGTCCGATGTGGGGCATAACCCACGAACCGTGAGATCATGACCTGAGCTGAAATCAGATACTTAACTGACTAAATCACTCAGGCGCCCCTCTTTAGTAACAGATCTTAAACTTGACTCCTGTTCACATTTGAACTATTCCATGGAACTTATCAAGGGTGGTAAATGAATGAGGTAAATTGAAAGATTAGTTTCAAATTAAAATCTAAGAGAAATATTTAAACTAACTTTAAACACAGTAATTTTTACCACTTATAAAATTACTTCAATAAAACCTTATTTGCATATATATAAGTTATAATTACAAAAGTTGGGTGGGAGCATCTTCTGGGTAATAATTGTTAGTTCGTATTGTCATACAGATGTAAAAATAACCAGTATCGTTACTTTTATGTGTTACTTTAAAACATAACTCTTTATTTTTCTTTTCTTGTAAATCAGATCATATTATATTCCTAATTAGTTGAGAAAGTGTATTGCATTTGGAAAATAACTCGTTACCACTAACTGATCTGAAAATTTGGCAGCCTCATCATTAGAAGTCAAACACCTGTTTCCTTGAAAGTATTCTTCCACCTGGAAGCTGATTCACTTTGCATATGGCTGCTCCTACTTTCACATCTCTTCTCAAGAGAAGTAACACTTTATGATAAGTGACTACATATTCCTTCTCTGAGTTAGAATGATTCTTTTTAGTGTCAGGTCACCAGATATTTTGTTTGTATTTAGTAGTATAAGCTCTTAAGATATAGAGATATAAGCACAGGGGAGAGTTCGTTTTCCAGTATCTTAATGATTCTGTGGTTATTTCAGCAGGATCTTCTAAGGTTAAAGAAGATGCAGAATTTGCATGTGCACTTATTTCAGCTACCCCTGCAACAAAAAGGAGAATGTTGAAAAAAGGTCAGTAAATCTTACGGTTTTTTAGCTTTCGTTTTTTTCACTGCAAAACAATTTTAACATGGTACAAGAAGTTTAAAAAGTAAAGAAAAGAATGGGGTGCCTGGGTGGCCCAGTCGGTTAAGCATCTGACTTCAGTCTAGGTCATGATCTCTCCATTCCCAACTTCGAGCCCCACATTGGGCTCTGTGCTAACAGCTCAGAGCCTGGAGCCTGTTTCAGATTCTGTGTCTCCCTCTCTCTCTCTCTGCCCCTTCCCCACTCACACTCTGTCTCTCTCAAAAGTAAACATTAAAAGAAAATTTTTTTTAAAGAAAAAGGTACAGAATCCTGTTGTTCTTGGAAGTGCATGTTTATGTGTTTTCCTTCTAATACCTTTTCTTTTGTTAATTCTGTTTATTTTAGTTAGGTCAGAAATATGATGGAAAAGAGATCCTTTACTCATCTTAGTAGTAGAAATATTTTCTTCTACTGAAGTCCTAGAGCAATTGATGGCTATTTATTTTTTTCATTAAAATATATATTAGTGTTTATTTATTTTGAGAGAGCACACATGTACAGGGAAGGGGCAGAGAGAGGGAGCAGTGGCATCCTAAGTGGGCTTTGCTGTGTCAGGAGCCCTATGTGGGGCTTGATCTCATGAACCAAACTGTGACATCATGATGTGAGCCAAAATCAAGAGTTTTGGATGCTTAACTGACTGAGCCACCCAGGTGCCCCTTGATGGCCCTTTAAAACCTAATTTAATATGAATTCTTTAAATTGTAATATTTAGTTCTTAGTATGAGTAGAATTTTTCACTTATGAATGTTAGTGACCTTTATTATAATTTTATATTTTGCAATTCATAGGAAAACACTGTAAGACTCTAAATATTTGAGATGCAAAGAGATTGATCTCTAGGGTTAAGGAGATCTGGGATGAGTTACTATTATTTCTGTGCCTTAGTCTCCTCTGTTTTACATTTTGGGGATATACCAGATAAAAGTCTGTTTCATAGCTTATGTCTAATGGTGGGGAAACATAAATAATTGAACACAGAACTTTAAATAATAAGCACTGTGAATAAAATAAAGGTGGATAGTAAAGAATGATGAAAGGGACCTGTTAAAGAGGTTATTTGACGCATCACAGAATGATGTTGGTCTAAGAATCAGACAGGAATGGAAAATAGGGGTGCCTGGATGACTTAGTCAGCTCAGGTCACGATCTCACAGTCATGGGATCAAGCCCCCTGTTGGGCTCCACACTGAACGTGGAGCTTGCTTGGGATTTTCTCTCTCTCCCTCTCTTCTGCCCTTCCCGTGCCTGTGTGCACATTTGCTCCCTCCCTCCCTCCCTCCCTCCCTCCCTCCGTAGCTCGCTCTCTCTCTCAAAAATAAATAAACTTAAAAAAAAAGGGATGGAAAATACAGGCATTTCAAGTAGAATACTCAACCCTAATTTTAGAAATTTTAAGAAATGTGGAATTTTCTGTTGAGATAGAATTAAGATAGAATTCAGTTAGAATTAAGTTCACACACAGAAAGTTCTTTTTCCTTGCAGGCACACAGCCATAATAATAGAAGAGAGAAACTGTAAAAAATCGTAGCTGTGAAAAAACCCCAAAAAACAAAATAAGCATATTTCTGGAAGAAAAGCAGAATAGAAACAAAAATCAGTGAGTGGAGACAGAAGTGATATCTTGTGGTAGACAGTGTTTTCTAAAATAAGACACAAAAAATTATAAGGAAAAAATTGATGAAATTCTACTACATTTTAAATTTCCATGCATCAAAGTGCACCATAAACGAGGTAAAAAATAAGACTGAAGAAGATATTTCTGGTAAGTGTAACTTACAAAGGATTAGCATTTAGAATGTGTAAAGAAACCTCTACAAATCCATTGGAAAAAGACAATCCAGTAGGAGAAGAGCCACTAAGAATACAAATGTACATTCCAAAGTAAGAAAACACAACCAATAAATGTGGGGAAAGATAGGCAGATTCAGTCATTGAGGAAATCAAATTAAAGGAACAGAGAGGTACTATTTCACCCATTATATTTACAAACATTTAAAAATCTCACAGTGCCAAGTATAGGCAAGGTTGTGCAGCAACAGGAACTCCCAGGTACTATGGAGTATAAATTACCATGGTATGAGCAATTGGGGCAAAAATAATGAAGATAGATAAATCACCTAGATATGTAAAAGGATACCTGAAAAAAAAAGTTTTTATTGTGTTTTTTAGAAAAATGTTGAAATAATATAAATACTGTCCAGTAGGGAATGGAAAATAAAATTGTAGTGTGTCCTTTTATAGGGTGCCTGAGTATCCTTGCAGCATGGCAGCTGGCTTCTTCCAAAGGGAGTGATCAGAGAAGGGGGGTGGGGGCGGTGGGGGGGAAACTTAATCTCAGGAGCGATGTACCACCCTTTTTGCCATATCCCTAACAGAATGTGGGAGGGTACCATGTGAGGTTGTGACAGTCAGAAAGTGGATATTATTAGGGGCCATCTTGGAGTCTGGTTACCACATTATAGCACAGATTCCAAAAACTGCATAGAACAAATGTTATCTTAATAACTATGAGTAACAAATACTTATCAGGAAATATTCCAGATTTTTTCCATGTGCCCCCTCTCAATCATAGTTCTCCACCTCCCATAAGTAATCAGTGTCTAGATTTGTAGTTATTTAAAGTGACAAGGTAAAAAATAATAAATCGACAAGGTAAAAATCTAGTTCCTGTTACTTCATCATGGCTGGAAACAGAAGTCTATCTGCTTCATTTTAATTCTTCCTAATTACTCTTTTCATAGAAGCACATATTGCCATATCTTGACTTCATATATATGCAAAAAAAGCTGAAGACTGTTTCAACTGATTCACTCTTTCAGGAGCATCTGCAGTAGAGAGTTCAAAGAAAACTGATGTTGAAGAGAGACCAAGAACAACACTGATCATCTGTCCACTTTCTGTGTTAAGCAACTGGATTGTAAGTCTTCACAGCCTTTTAAAATGTGACATAATTTATATTTTAGTTTTCATCTTGAAAAGTATTTTGTTAAAGTCATTCATTAGGAGAAATATGTTTGGTCAGCATTCTATGTCTGAGTCAGAATAATTTGTTAGGTGACTCGGGGTTTTATTTGCTGAATTGAAGTACTTCTTTTTTTTGAAGATTTATAGTAAAAGAAACTTCATTAATTATTATCATAAGATTTGGTTTATAGTTCTTCCTCTGCCATTTCTGTCCCCCAAGGTAGGAAAAGTATATAATTTTAAGATTCCACTATGTTTATGAACTATTGAAAACTCTTTTCTAAGAACTACACTAGCAATATCTTTTGTTTATATAACAACTTGTAACATTTAGTGAACTCATATGTACTCCGTTATTCCCTAAGCTCTTCTCATAGACTTTCTTGTTTAGTCCTCACAACTATTATTCTCATTTTCCTGGTGACCAAATTGAAACACAGAGAAATTCAGGAACTTGCCTAAGATCATCCAGCTAATAAATGATGGAGCTAAGATATAATCTCCAACATTCTAATTCTAGAGCCTATGCTTTTACGACTACCAGAAAATTTTTTTTCTTCCAGATTGAATTTCTATTCTAGAACGTGACATTAGAATAGAACCTCTTTCTGTGTTATGTATAAGGAACAGCTTGGTTGTGTTTCCTTTCCAGTTTGAGCTTCAAGCTGCATGTTATAATGAAATAATGACTATAGGAAGCATTGTGAACATAAGGACCACTGGATGTGAACTTCTCTTCTTGCCATGTCAAAGGTTATTTGCATCTCTCCTGGCCTTTTCTCCTCTAATCTCAGAGGTGGAAGAGGTCCCACTCTTTGTAAGACCATTATCTTAGTCTAGGCATTGGATTCCATCTCTTTCCACCTTTGCATTTTATCTGTTATTTTTCTCTTTCCCTGGTTATTTAGTCTCTTCCCAGTGGCTTTTTCTTGACACATACTCAGATCTTTTTCATTTTTAACTACTTCCTCTTGATTATTTCTCACCTTTAAGTTGCTGCTCTTATCCTTTCCTTCTCTGTTGTACCTTTTGGGGTTTAATTTCCACTTTGTGCTTTTACTTCTTAGCCTATAATCTGGCTTCTGCCACTTGTTCTCTAACTTGCTTTGGAAAAGATTAGTAGTTATTGTCTAATTGTCAATTCTGTGCCTCTTTATTTTCTTCTTGACTTTTATGTACTCTTGCCTTCTTTGGTTCTTTTTATTGTAAGTTTTTGGTGTATATATATAGATACAGATACAGATTTTTAAAATTAACATCTTTTTCTGATTTGTGTGTCATTTTTCCTCTTGAGACCAGAGTGAGGTTTAGTTCCCTCTTGCTCTTTTTTTAATTCCAAAAAAACTATCCTCTTTTTTTTGAGATGTAGTTCATTGTGGGAAGGACAGTACACAGGTACTAGAATGACAGTTTCAGGGTGAGGTTTACAAGTATTAAGGAAGTATAAACAGAACTATGAGTCTTTAAGAGCTTGGGTTCAGGATATGTTTTTTAAAAGTGGCTGGTCAGTATTTCATTATAATTTAATATTTGGAAAACAGCAAAATTTTTATAATATAAACTTCAGAAAGGAAACCTTGGCAAAGTCTTGCCTACTGAGATTATGGAGAAAACTGATTTTTAAAAGAATGAGAGCTGGTTGGGCATATATGGAATCCTGGCTGAGATTAAAATTTTGCAATCTCTCAATAAGCTAATTCTTCCTAACCCCCAAGTAAATGACCTAGCACCCTAATGAGTAGGCTAGAACTACCTTATCATCCTTTTGTTGTCTTCAGATCTGGGAAGGAATACAGTTAAAGCTATAAGAGACCATCACACTTCCACCACATACTTATTCTGAATACTTGGGCAAGTTACTTCTCCTCCCAATGGAAAATGAAATAGTATCTATTTTATTCATATACAGCACTTAGCACAGTGACTAGAAACTCAATACTATAACTCTCTTTTTCCAGGAAAGTTAATTGTTTTCTATTTCAGTTCTAGTCCTTTCACAAATACGTTTTTTTTTTTTTCCATTTCAAAGCAGCCCATTGATTCAGTTTTCTATTGGATTCTTTCTCTTTTCCTTTTCCACCGGTTTTCTTAATAAAATTCTCTGCATTTTCACCTTAAGTCTTTCATGTTTTATCCTCTTTTCTTAGTATTTATTCCTTCACTATTTCAGGTATCATTCTCTCTTCAGCTCATAGTAGTCTGGTTTTTGCTCTCACCCTCTGTAGTAACTGTGAAGGCCTTCAGTGACCTCATTGTTGCCGTGTCCGCTGAGTTCCCTTTTTCTTTACTTCTGCTCTGACTTTATTTTTCTTTTTACAGCATTTTGTTATGTTTTATTTTGTAAGACATCTGTAGGCTCCGTGCAGTTAGTACAGAGCCTGATGTGGGGCTCAAACTCAAAACCATAAGATCATGCATGACCTGAGCCAAAATCGAGTCAGATGCTTAACCAACTGAACCACCCAGGTGCCCCTAAACCTTTTTCAGAGAGAGGGAATGAACATAAATTACAAGTTAAAAAAAATCTACCTTGTATTCCTTCTTGAAATTTTAATACTTTTCCCCTCCCCACCCTGTCCAATTTTGTTGCTCCCCCAGGTTTCTGACCACTACTTTTCTCCCATGGTTTCTATTTAGTCTGCCTTTCCCCCCTGCGTAACAAGCACGGTATCTTTTTTGAAATATTAGAAAAATTTTTAAGCAAATCTGCATTTACTTAAACAAGATTCAAGAATTTCAAAAGTTTGCCACATTTGCTTTGTTTTTTTCTTTGCTGGAATATTTTAAATCCTGTCCTAGTAGAAACAGAGGCCGACTGTTTAAATACTATCATTTTGTAGGCTCTTCCCCTAACCTTCTTTTCTCATTATACATGTTCTTAGAATATCTTATTCCTAAGCTTCATGTACTGTCTGCTGATAACTTTATAAAGTCCATCTCTACATTGTATTACAGGCCAATATTTAAATATTTGTAGTATACATCTCTAGTCAGACATTCTGTAGTGGCCAAAAATTTTAAATGTCTAAATAGTAATACTATTTTTTTCTCATTCTTATACCTACTTCCCCTTCTTTTTTTAAACTTATATCTTTATCACACAGTTCTAGGCACTCACTTTAAGTATTAAGGACTTTTTTTGTTTTTTGTTTTTTTTTCATATCCCATATTTATGAGTCCTCAAGTCCCATCAGTCTCTTTTTTTTGGTATCTTTCTTTCATACCTGTCCTTTTTATTCTCTTCTTACTTCTGACATTCTGGTTTAGGGGTTTATCATCTCCCACCTAAGAGTGAGAGCTTTGTTTCTCTGGTGTCCTTTTTTTCCCCAATCTAATCATGATTTTTTTTTTCCTGCTCAGTCTCTCAGACCTATTGTTTTCGTGATTTAAAAAAAAGTCAAGTGCTTTAAATTGATTATGTCCTCAGAGAGCGCAGGGACTAGGTCTTATTTTTCTTTTTAGCTATACCACCCTTCTGGTTGATAATCTGACCAATAGTAGGCCTGTGATAAATGAATAAAAGTAGATACTGAGCTTGAAACTCTGCCTGTATTCTTGAAAATATTGGTTGTTCTTTTGCTGTTTAATTTTGATATTATCAAGTTTACTTCTTGGGAGCAGTAGAGCCTTTCTGTTAATACTAAATTTTTAAAAAATTGATTACTGTTTAAAAGACATTTGGTTGTTTTTCCTTCTAAAAATGAAGTGGCTGCTCATTGGTAGGGCCAGGCACAATTTATATAGTGTATTATTATGGCGTATATGTCAGTTTTCCTGACAATACAATAATAATTAGTATTGTTATTTTCATGGTTGTTATTTTAGTTTAGATAGCAGGAAACTTGATTTTATGCAATTTTAATAGTTTGATTTGTGATACTACTGCCAGTACAATACTTTTTTATATTATTCCCGACACTAATCTGCTTACTATTTAAAATATTTCTAATTTTCTTCTAGGATCAATTTGGACAACATATAAAATCAGATGTGCACTTGAATTTTTATGTTTATTATGGTCCTGACCGTATAAGAGACCCAGCCTTGCTTTCAAAACAAGATATTGTTTTGACTACATACAACATTTTAACTCATGACTATGGAGTAAGTATGCTGAGACTCCTATTTCAGAAGTTGAATTTGAGAAATACACTTCAGGTTTCTAAAGTGTTCTAAAATTCAGACTTTGTGCTCTTTTTTTCTAAATACTTAAGAATATGTAGGAAGTAAATAGGAGATTGTTTCTTAATACTCTGCAAAAAAAAGTTCAGCTTTCTTCAGCTAATTATGAATATTTTCCATTTAGAACACTTAAAGCTACAGTTTTACATTGGAATTGTAACTAAGTTTAGATAGCAGTTTGTAAGTGAATTCTATTTTTTCTTGTATTCTAGAATATTATTTTCTATCACAATGATTTAATTATCTCAGTTTAAAAATAAACTTTTTTTAATAGCTGAAATTTATGAGTTTCCTGATTCATTTAAAAGTTTAATTTTTGTTTGTTTGCCTATTCCAGTCGTTAAAATGTTTTTCAAAATACCTTATTGTCAAAATTTTGGTCTTCTGATAAGAACGTTAACTATTACATAAAAGAAACTAATTATGTTAAATTCAATAATTCTTACTACTGAAAATTTTTCTATCATTACAGTTTTAATCTGAGGTGAAATTAGCTCAGTGTATTGAACCAAAGTCGCAGTAGAGAGCTAGACTACCTAGGTTTGAATGCTAGCTCTGCTATTTCCTAGCTGTAGTACTTTGAGTAACATACGTACTTCACACCTTGGTGCTTCAGTTTTCTCATCTGTAAAATAGGAGTAACTATAATATTTTGTAAGCTTTTGAGCATTCAGCAATTAAAAAAATTGTTTTTAATGTTTATTTTTTGAGAGAAAGAGACAGAGTGTGAGTAGAGGGGCAGAGAGAGGGGACACAGAATTGGAAGCAGACTCCAGGCTCTGAGCGGTCAGCACAGAGCCCGACACTGGGCTCAAACTCAAGAGTGGTGAGATCATGACCTGCACTGAAGTTAGACACTTAACCAACTGAGCCACCCAGGCACCCCGAGCATTCAGTAACTTAACGTGTGTACTGCTTAAAGCAGTATCTACCACATAGTAAGCGTTGATACTAAAAAATAGTAGCAATGTGTATTTACCAAATTACGTGAAGTACTGTTTTACTTCCCTGTGTTTTTAATTCACATGAAACATTTATTTCAGACTAAAGGTGATAGTCCATTACATAGCATAAGGTGGCTAAGAGTGATCCTGGATGAAGGACATGCGATAAGAAATCCAAATGCTCAGCAGACAAAAGCTGTACTTGATTTAGAAGCAGAGAGAAGATGGGTATTAACAGGTAAAAAGGTTATATTTAAAAGATTCTCAAATATGTATCATTGAGTTAGGTAACTTGTAAGTTTTATGTGAATATAAAAAGTTTGTTCTGTAATTAATCATTGAGGTCATTTAATAAAATATTTTGACTTGTTCTTCACAGTTCCCCATGCTATGGCAACATTGAATAATATAATGGAACAATCACTAGATTTCTTTTTGAACCTTGGAGATTGATTAGACACTTTAATTCTCAATCAGAATCTTGATTTCCCTATTTCTCATCTTGAAGCCAAGCTTGTTTGCTACTTGTGACGCCTGTACTAGAAAATGGGGAAGAGGATATAAACTCAAAGTCATTTTTTCCTTCTTGTTAGTACTGCTGGTTTAAAATCAAATAAATACATGTTCTTGGATAAGGAGAAAGTTGAATTCACTGGGCTGTGGTTTTTTTCTTTATTAGTATGGCAAGTAAGAGTTAAAAATTAGAGCAAAACTGTATTTTGAGATTGTGTATGTATTTAACAAAGGATTATAGTTACAGCTTGATAGCGGGTGTGCCTAGTACAGAATGCCTATTTTCAACTGTTGTTTTCTCTGATTGGGTCAGATGGATATTCTGAATGGATATTCTGGTTGTGGAGTTACAACAGTTTTCTGTTATTTTTAGGTACTCCGATTCAGAATTCTTTGAAGGATTTGTGGTCTCTTCTTTCCTTTTTAAAACTTAAGCCATTTCTTGATAGAGAATGGTGGCATAGAACAATACAGCGTCCTGTCACAATGGGAGATGAAGGGGGACTTAGGTAAGTAATTTCATGAAAACGGATTAATATTAGCAACAAATAACTATAAGCAGCTTGAACCAATTGCCACTTTGAATACTATTTTAACTTCACTGTTGGCTTTCTTCTCCCAAAAGCATTTATAGCTTCATGCCTTTGGCTCTCAGAACCTAATGATTGTTGGCTGGGAAGACAAAGATTTCTAACTACCACTAAAACACAAGCTTTTCCTTTCTTTGATATTAGTCTAACTAAAAGGAAAGGCAGAACTTTATGGTCTTTGTGTGTTGCTGTTACCCCTGAAACCACCATTAATTGGTTAAACAGTGGCAGGAAAAACTATATGCTCTGAACATCCAGTATGCACTAAATTTTCATAACTTATCTTGTGTAACTTTATATAGTGGTAATCGAATGGTAGGATATACACTCGCATCAAGAGAGAAAGCGATTTCTCATGGAGACATAAATAAAATTCAACTTGGTGATAGCCATTTCACAGGGTACTCCGCTAATAATGTGGTTTAAGGTTTTTGGCTAGAGCAGTGGTTTTCAGAGTTTGGGATCCATTAGCAGGTTGTGAAATCATTATAAAGATGGCAGCTAGCCTTATAAAACAAAGTGAAGTAGAATAGAAGGTTTAAGAAAATAGAGCATATCACACATAGTATTGTTTTTGTGAGATGTTTCTGTTATATGTGTATGTGTGTTTATATAATAATGTTTGCTGGATGGTATGTGTTTCTTACTGTGGTTATAGGGAAAAAGTTCAGAAGCCACCAACCTAGTTTGCAGTACTGTCTGCTTGCTTTTCAGAACCAACTATGTAAATTATAATTTAAGAAATTTTATTTATATTTCAGTGTTAGGAAAAACTTTCCCTTAAAGAATTGATGTGCCTCCTTTTTTTCTTATAATGAGAAGGGAGCATAAAGGTTGTAGAACCTAGAAGGCATTTCTCCCTTCTTCTGAATTGTCACATTGTGTTTTAATTTTTTTGGCAATTTTAAATTTTTTTAAATTTTTTACTTTCTAAAAATTACTTATTTTGTACTGTGATTTTCATATTACTGAAAAAATATTTTTGAAAGTAAGATGTTTTCCCATTCGGAGTTTATGAAATTTAGTATAATGCCTTGCAATTAGTGTAGGTACTTAAGAATTTGAGTGTTGAATATTGAGTGATGTAGTTAACAGAAATAAGTAAAAAGGTTAGTGATTAGAACAAAAATGGGGAGAAGTTAAGAAAAATAAAAGCAAGATAGAAGATTAGACTGTGACAAGTATTGAGTTGAGGGCAATCAGTGCATCGTTGCTACAGTTTTATATTTGTAGAATATATTTCTTATGATATCATATTGGATAAAACTCCAAATAAGGGATTTTTTAAAAACTTACTAGGTTATAAAACAGTAATATATTAAAATACTTTTTTTGTTGTTGTTAAGTCAACTTACACAGAAAAGTTATGTAATTATTTGTTTTATTTTGACTAGGCGTTTACAATCCCTAATTAAAAATATTACTCTTAGAAGAACAAAGACCAGCAAAATTAAAGGAAAACCTGTTTTGGAGTTACCAGAACGTAAAGTATTTATTCAGCACATTACACTTTCAGATGAAGAGAGAAAAATTTATCAGTCTGTAAAAAATGAAGGCAGAGCTACTATTGGAAGGTATGGAAAAAAGAAAGCCATTTTAGAAAATAATTTTTATTTTCTTTCCTATTTAACTGAATAGTATTTTTTAGAAATGTCAGCAGTAAAGTCTGAAGTATACTGAAAGATAATATGCTTCTTTATTTAAATTGTTTTTCATGAATTTGTAGTTGAAGTAAATGAAATTGTGTTACAACTTACCAGGTAAGTAATTCCTTAAGTTAGAAAAAAAATGAAATGATGAATTAGGAATGGCTAGTTAGAAGACCTTGTTGGTTCTATTCCTGGCTCTCTATCATGGGAGTAGATAAAAACATTGAGGGAAGTATATATATATATAGAGAGAGAGAGAGAGAGAGAGAGAGAGACAGAGATAAAAAACCTATTTAAGGACCAAAACTTTGGGGAATGTGCACATTTAAGAAGTAGGAAAATAGGGGCGCCTGGGTGGCTCAGTCGGTTGAGCGTCCGACTTCAGCTCAGGTCACGATCTCGCGGTCCGTGAGTTCGAGCCCCGCGTCGGGCTCTGGGCTGACGGCTCAGAGCCTGGAGCCTGCTTCGGATTCTGTGTCTCCCTCTCTCTCCGCCCCTCCCCCGTTCATGCTCTGTCTCTCTCTGTCCCAAAAATAAATAAAACGTTGAAAAAAAAATTTAAAAAAAAAATAAAAATAAAAAAAAATAAATGGTGATTCAGGAGTTATTGGTGTAAAATCTTAACATAGGTTCACCAGAATAGTGAGGTGTGTACCAAATTGTAGGTGTAAGGGAATTGCAAAGAAGTAGCAGCTGTAGGTAGGGGTAGACCACTTTCATGAAGTTTGTAAACGGAAGAAGAAAGTGAGACTGGTACATAGGATTGCTGGTTGGTTGCTCTGTCAATGTTTTGCATTTGATTTGAAAAATCTGCCTTGAGAAAAGAAAGCATAGAAGAGACTACACATAGAAAAGAGAATAAAGCAGATTGGTGGATAAAAATGAAGCCTAGCGGGGGGTAAAGAGTACAGTCAGTGAAATATGAGACAAAGGGTATCTACAGAGAAAGGTGGTGGGAAGTTGAAGATAGCTGGATTTGCAGCCATTATAAAAAGTTGTTAAAGTTCTTAGAGTGGGATACAGGCTTCATGTAGTATTGAATATATGTAGACTTTCCAACAACACGTGAAATCTGGGACTTTCCAACAACATGTGAAATCTGGGGAATAGGAGCTGATGACGTAGATTATAAAGGGATTGGGGATTGGTAGAAGGTGAGAAATTCTAGTCCAAGCAAGAACATGTTTGATGGTAGTGCTTATGGAACCAGAATGAGTAGGAGACAAGTAAAGGCAAAAGAGGGCTGAGAAAATAGGCGAATCTTCAAGGTACGAGAACTTCATTGAAATACGAAGCAGGTTTAACAGGAATTAGTTTGAAAAAGATTGTTCTAAGTAAGTGATTTCAGATTTCAGAATTTTGCAGTGGTGATTGAAATTTCCTTCATACTCATTCTTTCAACCAGAATTTATTAAGTGTAATACATTTTGAGATACAACATAATAAAATAGACAAAAGTCTTTACCCTCAATAAGTTTATATTTTAATGGCAGGAAACAGACAATTAAAAAAAATTAAATTTTATGGAAAAAAACTAAAGCAGAGAAAGGGGATAGGAAGTGTTGAAGCTAATAGGTTATTCAGTGAAGACCTTACTGAGGTGATATGTGGGAATAGGTCTAAAAGAGACTGGAATTGGGGACATTTCAGAGGGAACAGCAAGTATAAAGGCCCTGAGTTGGGAGCATGTTTGGTGAGCTTAGAAAGCAAGAGCTTTTCTTTCTAAGCAAGAGCTCACCAAAGCATGTTTGGTGAGCTTAGAGGCAAGTGTGGCTGGATGATATGAGCTAGATGGAATAGCAATGATGTCAGAGAGAGATTGGAGTGGGGACTACATGGTGGTTTTGTAAGGCATTACTGCATATTTCAAGGACTTTGGCTCTTACTTTCTTTAGTTTAGAAAACTTTGAAGGGTTTTGAGCCAGGAGAGTGATATAATCTTACTTTTATTTTATATTTTAAAAGGATCACTGACTGCTGTGTTAAGATTTAGATTCTAGGAGTACGGGCATAGATAGGGAGAAGAGTGGCAGTAGTCAAAGTAAGAGATCATGGTGGTTTTCACTACAGTAGAGTGGTGATGAAGGGGGTGAAAAATGGTTGGATTCTGTCATAGTTTGAAGGCAGAGCCAACAGAACTTGCTGATGGGGAGGGAGACAGGAGTCAAAGATAACACTGAGCTTTTTCACATGAATGTGACTAGAAAGTTGAAATTACCATTTGCAGAAATAGGTCTGTGGGAGGAGCAGAGTTTTTTCAGGAAAGATCGGAAGTTCAGTTTTGGACCCATTGACTGATGCCTGTGAAACTTCTAAGTGGAGATGTCTCATATATAGGAAATTAGTGTTCATGGGAAAGTTCTTAATGTAAATTTGAAAGTCACCTGTGTGTAGATGGTAATTAAAGCATGAGACTGGATGAGAAGAGATCTAACAAGGAAGACAGGAGTGGCTGGTGGAAGAGGAGTGGTGGAGGCTTCTACTCTTATCTGGGACTCAAAAGAGATCGTTAAACTGAAATGCTGACTATTAGTGTAGTAAGTGACCATGCCAAGGAATAGACTGGTTGTAAAGGTTATTCTATTTGAAAAGGTAGAGAAGAGTTAACTATTGAAACCACAGAAAAGAAATAGATTGTTTTAAAAGTTTTCTTTTTCTTTTTTAAATGTTTGTTTATTTCTGAGAGAGAATGAGCAGGGGAGGGGCAGAATCCAAAGCAGGCTCCAGGTTCTGAGCTGTCAGCAGAGAGCTCGACGTGGGGCTCGAACTCAAGAACCGCAAGATCATAACCTGAGCCAAAGTTGGATGCTTAACTGACTGAGCCACCCAGGCGCCCCTAAAAGTATTTTTTTACTATGTAATACATTTAGTAACATTTATTGAGCACTTACTAGATGTTATGCATTCAAGTGCTTATATGTTTTAATTCACAACAATCTTACCAAGTCAATACAATGATTACCCACGTTTTCTAGATAGAGTCTGAGGCACAGTAACTTGTACTAGGTCACACAGCTAGTGAATGACAGAACTGGTGTTTAGATTCAGGCATTTTGGTTCTAGAGCTTGTGAATTTAACCTTTATATTATATTGCCTCTTCTTTGTACTGTTGACTATTTAGAATTATTTGTTGACATAATACTATTACTAATAATAACAGCAGATAGATAGATGGATAGATATATGACTTAACCATAGTCCAGACACTATTCTGAGTGTTTTCCATGTATTAACTTTTTTAATACAACTGTCTTATAGTGTCATGGTAATAATACATACCTCATAAAGATGTGACAGCTGAAGACACAGGTTAAAAATCTACCCGGAGCACCTAGGTGGCTCAGTTAGTTAAGTGTCTAACTTCGGCTCAGCTTATGATCTCACAGTTTGTGAATTAGATCCCTATGTCAGACTCTGTGCTGACAGCTCAGAGACTGGAGCCTCCTTTGGATTCTGTGTCTTTCTCTCTCCCTGCCTCTCCCCGACTCATGCTCTGTGTCTTTCTCTCTCAAAAATAAACATAAAAAAAAAAAAAAAAAAGAAAAACCTACCTAAAGTTTCACAGTTAAATTGGCAGAGCCAGGTTTTCAACTCAGTCTAGCTCTAGAGTCTGTGCTCCTAATCATTAAGCTGTACTTCTTCTATTGCCTTAATATACTTAAAATGTGATTGTATATAATTTTTGGATTACCCATTCTTCTTTCAGAAACCTGTCATTGCCCTGCTGTATTTTCTGTTGGATGTTTCTATTGAAAACCCTGATTTTATTTTAGGTTTTTCTTTAAAGTCCAGCACCAAGACCTCTCTTGATTTTTTTCTGGAACATGTGATACTGTTTAAATCTGTAGATTCTGGGCTTTTCCACCTCCTCCTTTTCCTGGAAAGTTTTCTTTAAATGTTGTTTTCTGTTCCATTTTTTTATCTTTGTATGTTTTAGATGTTTTTTTGTTTTCCATTGGTATCATTTTATTCTAATCCTTTATATCTTTCTGTTAAATTTTATTTTTTCTAAGTTTATTTTTGAGAGAGAGCGCATAAGCGAGAGAGGAGCAGAGAGAGGGGGAGACACAGAATGTGAAGCAGGCTCCAGGCTCTGAGCTGTCAGCACAGAGCCTGATACGGGGCTCGAACCCACGAGCTGGGAGATCATGACCTGAGTTGAAGTTGGACTCTTGACAGACTGAGTCACCCAGGCGCCCCTGTTTAATTTTATTTTTTATCTTTCTGTTTCCCACATTCTTGCTTATGTTTATGTCCGTGGCTTGTCTCTTTTATGCTGATTTCAATGTGGCTTTCATTTCTCTGATGGTTCACTTTTCTCTTTCACACTTCTGAACTGTACCACCTCAGTTTTCATCTGTTGTTTTGCCATGATAGTAAATCATGGCAGTATCCTGGTTCATAATTTTTATTTGCTCTGTGGCAACATTTTTTTGGTGAGTTTTCTTTCAATGCCATTTGTTCGTCCCTTGCTCTTTGCTGATTATTATATTTGAATGTCTTGAGTTCTTTCTGGACTATTTATAAGAGGTTAATATGAAGGGGGAAGGCCATAGCTATGTCACAGACTAGTAGAAAGTATCCCTGTATAAGTTATGACTCAGGGTTATATATGAGCCTTTTAGGTTTTATTTGGGCTTATACAACAGAGATCAGAAGCTGTAGATTCCTTGTAATATGGAATTTTATGCCCATAATCTTTTCTGTAAACACAGTAGGTCTGTTGTATTTCCTTATTTAGCTGGTCTTCTCTCTTTGGTATAACACTTGTCCAGGGAAGTTCAGACCACAGCCATGTACCCTGTTCTGTTTTTGCATATGAAACATGTTGATTTTCCCCTAAGGGTTGTGCCATCTGTTTTGAAGAACTGTGCTCTGGCAGGTCTGTTTGAGATCTGCAGTCATCTCTCTCGGTATCTTCTATCCAACTTCTATTGTAACTGGCAGCCATTTCTCATATATTTTGCTTCATTGTTACAAGTCTCTTATTTCTTAAAGGTGGTTTGCTTTTCTGTTTTCCACTGTTTTGATTTCCAGAGAAGAAGGGAACAATGCCATTTTTATTCCACTATTTTAGAATAGGGAATAATATTGTTTAAAGGCCTTCATAATATTTAACATTTTTATCTCTAGGTATTTTAATGAAGGGACTGTCCTTGCACACTATGCAGATGTCCTGGGTCTTTTGCTTAGATTGCGGCAGATTTGTTGTCATACTCATCTTCTTACGAATGCAGTGTCTTCCAGTGGTCCCTCAGGTAAGTAGATGTGATTGGTTTACACTATTATATTGGTTAGGGATATTTAAATCAGGATGAGAAATTTTTCATATTACCTAAATACAGTTTCTTATTCATCAGATGAACATTGTTTTTAGAATAGGACTCAAGAATATACCCACAAATTCTTACCAATGAAATGGAGTAATAATGATGTCTTCCAGGATTTCCAGTGACAGATAACAGTGACAAATTGGATTTGCTTTTTATTCTGTGGTAGTATGTGCAGACTATAATGATGCTGTTGTGTAAGGTATATTATGTGGGTTAGCTACTATTCTAGCATCTGAATTTTTTTTTAATTTAAACCATGCTTTTTGCCTATGATAGAAAAAACCTAAATAAGGACTACCCGAGCAAAACTTTTCCCCATATAAGGAAGATTAACTTGTCTAGTCATATTACAAATCTTGCTGTGAAATTAATTTTTCAGCCTTTTCTCTAGGAAATGATACACCTGAAGAACTACGAAAGAAGTTAATAAGGAAGATGAAGTTAATTCTGAGCTCAGGTTCTGATGAAGAATGTGCAATTTGCTTGGATTCTTTAACGGTTCCTGTCATAACACATTGTGCACATGTCTTTTGTAAGCCCTGTATTTGCCAAGTCATTCAGAACGAGCAGGTTAGTTTATGCTAGGTACAGAGTCAGTGTTTGATGGAATGGTGCACTAGTCAGTCTTGAGTGTAATGAAAACCGAAGTCCAACAGATTGTAAAGAGTTGGATTTACTTAGACTTACTAGTGCACCTTTTATGGTTAATTATGTTAGTATTTTATAGGTAATCTGTTTCTTATAATTCCTTTTAAACATAAAAAGACACCACACATTTGGAGGCATGTTCACAGTTAATATCCTAGTTCTACTGTTAAGATCATTGCTATCCAATAAATGGATCAGTAATGTGAGACACAAAAGTAATTTTAAACTTTCTAGTAGAAATAGGTGAAGTTAGTGACATTTTTGTTTATCCAGTATATCTAAAATTGAGATTTTTACGTGTTTTTACTTTAAGTGTTCAGAGTGTGGTATTGTACAGTTACAGCACATCTCAGTTTGCCTTTGCTGCATTTCAGGGGCTTGCCACATGTGTTTATTGGCTATTGGATAAGGTAGGTCTAGATTCTTAGATATGGTAGAATTTTTGAAGTGGAATAATCCTTTAAGCAGTTCTTCAGCTGAGGTAGAGTTTTTTTTAAAACATTTTTATTGGTATACTAGTAGGAAAAAATGCCTAAGTCATGATTGTGCAGTTGAGTGAATTATGAAGTAAACACATTCATTTAACTACTACTCTGGTCTCCCTGTGTCCCCTTTCAATCATTTACCTCCTCCCTCCTCCCCAAAGCTAACACCACTAAACTGACTTTTAACATTGTTTTAGTTTCACAGTCTTTTTTATTATAATAGTATTTGGTATGTAGTTATTTTGGAGACTGTTTATTAGCTTGTGTTGGTACAAATGGACACAAAAAATATTGCTTTGAATGAGCCTGATAGGATTTAACAGGTCTTGACTAGCTTTGTAAGCCATCTAAAAAGGAAAAAAATTTTATTTTGAGAGAAAGAAGCAGGATGGGAGGGGCAGAGAGAGAGGGGGATAGAGGATCCAAAGCGGGCTCTGCTGACAGCAGAAAGCTTGATGCAGGGCTCAAACTCACAAACCATGAGATCATGACCTGAGCCAAAGCTGGACACTGAACCGACAGTCACCCAGGTGCCCCAGAAATTTTTTTTTTTTTTTCCTAAAGAAGAGTTTCAACTAGTGTGCTGTAATGTAGTTAGGTTCAAGATACTATTATTTCTGGTTTCTTTACTTGTCTGCAAATAGTACACTTCACCCTGAACAAGGCAGGGGTTGGGGTGCTAACCCCCTGTGCAGAAAATCTGCCCTAAAACTTTACTAATAGCCTACTATTGACTGGAAGCTTTACTGATAACATAAACAGTTGACACATATCTTTGTTATATATTATATGTGGTATTCTTACAGTAAAGAGAAAATACTAAAATCATAAAATTCATTTATAGTACCGTACTGTATTTACTGAAAAAAAATCCTCATACCCATGTTCAAGGGTAAACTGTATTATAATATTTGTTTCAAGCTCCTATTGCTAGTCAAGATGACATACTTTTTGCTCCTTTTTTTACCCAGTCCCACTTGACACATTAGAACATTACATCTGCCTGGAGTTTAGCATGTACAGACTTATCTCAAGTGGATGAATCTAAAAAGTCTAATAAAATGGTAGCTATTAAGGTTTTAGAATTTACCATGCTTTTTAAAAATTTAGGTAAGTTGGGGCACCTGGGTGACTCAGTCGGTCAAACATCTGACCCTTGATTTTAGCTCAGGTCATGATCTCACGATTCGTGAGTTTGAGCCCCATGTCTGGCTCTGTGCTGATGGTGCAGAGCCTGCTTGGGATTCTCTTTCTGCCCCGCCATCGTGCACTCACTTGCTCTCTCTCAAATAAACTTGATAAAAAATTTTAGGTAAGTTGATATTTGTTCCTCTGATAAGCTTCATTCATATCTTATTCTTTTCTTATATAGCCACATGCTAAATGTCCTTTATGCAGAAATGATATACATGGAGACAGTTTATTAGAATGTCCTCCAGAAGAATTGGCATGTGACACTGAAAAAAAGTCTAATATGGAATGGACATCCAGTTCAAAGGTAAAATATACATGGGCAAATATTTGAGTATTTGTTTTACATTTATATAAGGATACCATTTATTAAGATAATTCTTTTCATCCTGTCATTTAAATATTATGCTCTGTTAGTGTTAACTTTTTAATTTTCTAGTGGTGCATTTGAGAGCAAAGAAGCTTCAGCTTATGAGTGCATTTTTTCAGTGTTTTTAAAAACATTGTCTTTTACTTTTGCATTTTTAGGGAAATAATGGGGCAGGGCCTTTCTTTTCCTAATAAAAAAATTATATGTATTTTGCCTATTCAAAATGGAATCCAACAGGTGTTCTAATTTTTTTTGCAGATTAATGCACTAATGCATGCATTGATTGACTTAAGAAAGAAGAACCCCAACATAAAAAGTTTAGTTGTTTCTCAGTTTACAACATTCCTGTCTTTAATAGAAACACCACTCAGGTAAATTCAGTATTGTTTCTCACTTTGAGTAAAAGGATTTTATGTGTTTTGATAGGGATAGCAAAAAATAATTGTCTTACCAGTTACAGTCATTTCATCTATGTAAAATGATAGAGTCACAATATTTCCTGGGAGCATAGGATTTTAAAGATAAGTCCTGAATTTATCAGAAAAAATACTGACTGGTGGTTAGTAAATATTTGTCAGAATAAATGAGTGGAAGAATTGGTTGAATGAAATTTGTAATTAACATGTTTTTAAAATAGTATAGAAGGTGTTACTTGTCTCTTTTGTCCTTCCATTAGAGCCTCTGGATTTGTGTTTACTCGTTTGGATGGTTCTATGGCACAGAAGAAAAGAGTTGAATCAATTCAGTGTTTTCAAAACACTGAAGCAGGATCTCCAACTATAATGCTTCTATCTTTGAAAGCAGGTGGAGTTGGTTTAAATCTTTCTGCAGCTTCTCGTGTGTTTTTAATGGATCCAGTAAGTAGTTCTGTAGATTTTAAACTTTTTTAAAAAATGAACTGTTTGGTAAATACCTTTATAGTTATAATTGATTGTGAAAACTCTGAGGCAAACTTTAGAAATAGATGATAACTGGGGCGCCTGGGTGGCGCAAGTCGGTTAAGTGTCCGACTTCAGCCAGGTCACTATCTCGCGGTCAGCGAGTTCGAGCCCCGCGTCAGGCTCTGGGCTGATGGCTCAGAGCCTGGAGCCTGTTTCCGATTCTGTGTCTCCCTCTCTCTCTGCCCCTCCCCCATTCATGCTCTGTCTCTCTCTGTCCCAAAAATAAATAAACGTTGAAAAAAAAAAAATTAAAAAAAAAAATAGATGATAACTTAGTAAATGTGTATTGAGGGCTTTTTCTTAAGCACTTTACATATATCAAATGAAATTGTCACAATATCCCTATGAGGTCAATGTATTACTGTCCTTACTTTACAGGTGAGGAAACTGAAGCACAGAGAAGTAAAATAACTTGCCCATCAAAGTCCATGTTTTTAATTTGTGTGCTGCAGTTTTCTACTTCTATATATATGCAATTAGTTTCTGTTATCTGTCATGCTTTTAATGTAGTGGTTTCATCCATTTGGCCAACAAATAATGCAGTCCTATGTTGTGTCAAGGAGTCTTACAGGCACTAGGAATCTAAACAAGGTAGACAAAGTAGCTACCATCATGGTGCTAATAGTCTCAATTTTTAATGTGCAAAGAATGAGGTGGAATGTAATTTCTGACCTCTATCCTCAGAGATTTAGGAGTTCTTAGATGTAACCCAGGAAGCTGTTTTAATACAGACCATAGGTGATTCAGGTGCAGGTGTCCAGCATCACAATTTTAGAAACTAATACCATTCATGGAATATTTTGGATAAATTCTGGCATCTAATAGGGTGCAGTCACATGTGGTTGATATAATATAGGTTTAGCTGTAGAGTGGGAGCTAAAATTCAGGCTGAACTTTACTCACTAAACTGACCTAGGAAGAACATCCACAGAGGAGCAGCACCTTGTTCTAATTGCTCAAAGAGGCTGTTTGAGCTGCAGGCATTCTGGACTAATTTAGTTTCTAATTTGTACTGGGTTACTGTTTGGGCTAGAGGCAACCCTATTTGCTGTTTCTGTGATTCATAGATTTGAGATTTGTGGTTTTAGAGCTTGTTGCCTGAAACTCAGAAAATTTCATAACCAAGTTTACTGATCTACAAATTTGAGTTCTTCTGGTTAGGCCATCTAGTTTATGTATGAACGCACCTCTTACCAAGACTTTTTCCTCACCTGAGGGTAATAACACCCACCCAGTTCAATACTAGCCAGAGCCATATTTTGGCATTCACAGACATTAATGTCATGGATGGCAGTGGTCTGTTGTGTTTTCTTGCCTTAGTTTTGTGGATCAAGTCTTAAATCTTTGCTAGAGTTTTAACTAACCTGATGATATTCTTAAAAGATGATTTTTGGACAGATTTCCAAATTATTTTTTTCTTCCGTTATAATCTTAATACCTGATAAGGAAAAGGTTGATACCAAATATAGTTTTATAAAACTGATGATCAAAAACTATATTCTTTTATCAGTTTACAAAAACTTCTGGAATGTTTTAGTAATTCATAGATTGATTTTCATTGAACATTTTAAATGTTTCTAACTTTGAAATGGAAGCCACGTTCCAGGAAAATAACTCATGAAAATCTTTGACCTTTTCATGGAATATTGCATAAGGGCTAAGGTGTATTTTAAATGTTTGATTATGAACTTTTGATAAAGCTAATTACCTTCCTTCATCAGTACATGTGAGAATGAAAACTGTCAGTTTTAGATCATGAGATAAATTTAGATTCCTGGTAGTCATACTATACATATATTGTCAGCTCATTAGAAGGTTCCTAGATAAAATACAACAGAAAGAATATTTTACTTGGGCTCTTGGTATAACGGTTTCTAAGCATGTCCAATTGTGAAATACAAAATATATACAAAATATGATTATCAGTTTTAGAAAACCATAAGCTAAATATTTCCTTAAAATCTGATTTCTGTACAAAAACCACCCAAAACTCAGATTACAACAGTAGTAAAATCTCCTTTTCCCTAGAGCTCAAAGGAACTTTAAATAGAAGAAAGTAACAGCCTGAGTATGAATCCTACTATAAACTTACTTACATGTGCATTTATGATTTTGTTTAATTTTCAGATAGTACTTTGCTGTGTAAATGTTACTTTTCCCTCAATACCCCATTTTCAGCTTCAAGAATCATCCCATAGTTTAAAATTTAATGATCCCTACACTGATAGTTCATGATAGTATTTCCAAACCATTTGACTCCTGTATTTCTAGACTGAAGAACTCTGTATGTTTCTGTTTATTCTTTTCTTCGCTTCATTGTTTTATTCTTCACTTTAAGACAGTTCCCAAACGGGTGCCTGGGTGGCTCAGTTGAGCATCCAACTCTTGATTTCAGCTCAGGTCATGATCCCAGGGTTGTGGGATGGAGACCCCCGCCCCCACATGAAGCCTACTTAAGATTCTCTCTCTCCCTCTGCCCCTCTCCACAGCTCTCTCTTTAAAAAAAAAAAAAAAGTCTCCATGAGAATGCCTTTGTTTAATGTTACTTTCAGTTCAATTTTGAAGTCACATTCAAATACAGATACAAAAAATTACATCAACAGAGCCTTTAGTTTTAGGACTTTTAACAAATGGAAGTAAAAAAGAAAAACCAGCAAAAAGAAAACTTTTTTTCATAAATGGACCCAATTATGTATCTTTTCTGATGTAAATTAAGCCATTTAAGAGGATGTGTAACCTTTTTTTCCTTTGTTAAACAGATCAACTTCAAAATGAAAAAGAAAAGATACTAATGCTGGGTGCTTTCTATGCATCAGGCACTGTTATTGGATACTAGAAGCAGTGGAGTGAAATGATGGAGAGTAGCTGCTGGTCATAGTAGCAGAGCGGGTGGGGTTCCCAGAGCATTTATGTCAGTATCTAATTCAGTCAGAGAAATTTGAGTCAGTAATAGATGACTGAGTAATACTGAAATGAAAGGATATGTGCAGAAAACTCACAGATCAGGGTGGTAATAAAGCCATTCATATTCTTGTTAGGCCTGGAATCCAGCTGCTGAAGATCAGTGCTTTGACAGATGCCATAGACTTGGCCAGAAGCAAGAAGTTATCATCACAAAAGTGAGTTTTTAAGCCATGTGTTTTAAAATTAAGTTGATTTGGTTTTTAAAATTACACAAAAAAAGTATGAATATATTATTATAAAAGTTTGCAGAATTTATGAAGATCACCTTTAATCTCCTCTAGAGGAAACCACCATCAGTAGTTTAACATGTTAGTCAAAGTCCCTTTCTCTACATAGATTCATTTGTATGTATACATCTCTCCTTTAAAAAATTTCTTTTAAGGTAAATGGGACCATACTTTTTTTTCCCTTAGCAGTATATATTGGGAACTACCATATAAGTACATATAGAGCCTATTCTTTTTTTTCCTATACTAGTAAAGTATACATAAAAATAGTTGAAGTAAATAATATTCAGTTCAGTGTCCAGTTCAGTGGCAGTACTTACTTTCATACTGTCGTGCAGTTATCACCATCATCCATCTCCAGAACTTTTTCATCGCAACTTGAAACTCAGCCCTCAGCAAACAACCTTCTGCTTTCTGTGTATTTGATGACCCTACAAAGCCATTTTTTTTTAACATCTGCATATAGATACATCATAATTTCTTTAGTCTGTTTTGCTAATAAAAACAGTGCCATAATTGGCATTATATTACATAAAAGTACTTCTTCAGGATAGGTTAAGGAAACTAGAATTCTGGATTTAGAACTCTTACAGCTTTCAAGTTTTCAAAATAGGCTTAATGATATAAATTTTTCCTTACATGATGGTCAAAAAAGTGCCCTTTCAGGGCACCTACGTGGCCCAGTTGGTTAAGCATCGGACTTCACCTCAGGTCGTGATCTCATGGTTCATGAATTCGAGTCCCACGTCGGGCTGTGTGCTGACAGCTCGGAGCCTGGAGCCTGTTTCAGATTCTGTGTCTCCCTATCTCTCTCTGTCCCTCTCCCGAGAGCTCATGCTTTCTCTCACAAAATGAATAAACATTAAAAAAAATTTTTGTAAAAGTCCCATTTCAATTTACGTATACCTAAGACTTTGAGTATATTTCGCTTATCTGTTAATATTTTTTTCTGTGAATTGGTTGGTGTTTGCCCAGTTTTCATGAAGTACAAATATAGTCTTATAAAATAAAGGAGTCTTTTGTACAGTCTGATTTAAAATTTGTTAGGTAGATTGCAGATGGTTTGTTATCAAGCTTTTCCTTTGAACTAGTTGTGTTTTTTATGATTTTAAAACAGGTCAGCTTTTTAAAAATACCTTATGGATTTTAAGATCTTAGAATTTATCTTCAAATTTAAAAACAAATCCCTCCCATATTCTTTTAAAATGTCTTATCTTTTAGGAGTCATGATATGGTTCTTTTTTCAAATGAAGAGCTGTGTGCTCCATCTTTTTTTTTTTTTTTTTTTTTT